ACAAGCATTGAAACCCAACCCATGCCTCCTCTTCTTTGGCGTGATCTTCATGGCCCCAATCTGGCTTCGATGCCTGCACAGGAATCTACGAACTAAGGAAAACCATTGAAGCCCAACCCATGCCTCCCCTTCTTCGGCGTAATCTTGGTGGTCCCAACCCGGATTCATTGCCTGCACAGATCTATATATAATATACGAACTGATAAGTATATCCATTGAAACCCAACCCATGCCTCCTCTTCTTTGACGTGATCTTGATGCTCCCACTCTGGCTTCGATGCCTGCACAGCAATCTATATATACCATCTCAAAAGGACAAGCATTGAAACCCAACCCATGCCTCCTCTTCTTTGGCGTGATCTTCATGGCCCCAATCTGGCTTCGATGCCTGCACAGGAATCTACGAACTAAGGAAAACCATTGAACCCCAACCCATGCCTCCTCTTCTTCAGCCTGATCTTGGTGGTCCCAACCCGGATTCATTGCCTGCACAGGAATCAAAAAACCACCTCAGAAGGACAAGCATTGAAACCCAACCCATGCCTCCTCTTCTTCGGCGTAATCTTGGTGGTCCCAACCCGGATTCATTGCCTGCACAGGAATCAACAAAAACAACTCAAAAGGACAAGCATTGAAACCCAACCCATGGCTCCTCTTCTTCGGCGCGATGATGGTCCCAACCCGGATTCATTGCCTGCACAGGAATCTATATACGAACTGATAACCGTTGAAACCCAATCCATGCCTTCTCTTCTTTGGCGTGATCTTGAAAGTCCCAATCTGGCTTCGATGCCTGCACTATATATATATACCAACTCAAAAGGACAAGCGTTGAAACCCAACCCATGCCTCCTCTTCTTCGGCGTGATGATGCTCCCAATCTGGCTTCATTGCCTGCACAGCAATCTACGAACTGATAACGATAGCCATTGAAACCCAGACCATGCCTCCTCGTCTTTGGCATGATCTTGATCATCCCATGGCTCCTGCACAGCAATTACGAACTCAGGACAACAATTGAAACCCAATTCACTCCTTCTCTTCACCAGCTTGCTGTTCAGCCCACTCATTCGGTGCCGGGAACAGGACGGTATTCGCTGCCTGTGCAACAATCTACGAACTTATGACCACAATTCAAAAACCCGGAAGCATGCCTCGAGGCCCGGCTTCGTTGCCTGCACAGATCGAATAGTAATAATTTAGGGACAGCACCTCCAAAACCCCAGCCCATGCCTCCTCTTCTCTCCAAGATTCATCCCAATCATCCGGCATTGGATTCTCCTGCACAACAAACATTTATATTAAGGGCAACACCTTGAACAACCAACCCCTGCCTCAGCGTACTGATCCTCCTCATTCAAAGCAACCATAACCTGGTCTCCTGGCCATGGATCCTCCTGCACAGCACAACACTATATAAGTAACCCCCCAGCACATTAAATTTAAGGACCAGACCATAAACACCCCGCCCATATCTCCTCTTCCTGGACTTCAGGCACCCCATGGTCGTAGTAGTCATCCTCAGCCTTCCAGGGCTCCTCGGCCCATGTACCAGTAGCTTCGCCATCACCCGCATCATCAGACGATCGCGAGTCTTCCTTAGATGCAAGCAATTATAATCCCTGTGTGGGCGAACACAAAACGATAGAGTCGCCACGGCACTGGAGGCGTTTTGCCTCGAAGTCGCTTGCTGGGCATGATGCCACCAAGCTGAGATGCACGTGTACATGTTTGCGACACAAACTCGATCAGCAAGAAGTGCATGCTTATGTTGGGATCCAAGCTGCACTCACAGAACTCGAGGCTTTCCGCTTCAAGCACTGCGAGTCCTCCAGGCTATATATAATAAGGCACACACCCAATAAGTGAAATTGCAAGGCTGCACGATCCTCGGCCGTCTCCAAGCCCTCGTCGCCAAGCACGAGGGTGTCTTCCTCGTCCATGGCTTCGGCGACGGCAGCAGCACTACCTCTTCGTGCTTTCTTTAGCATCTGATGTAGCACTGGGGCGGTTGCGTCCATCCACTTATCCATGCTAAACCCCGGGGTTGATGGCAGGCACAACCCCCAATCTAGGAGCCGCTGCAGGATGAACCGGCACGTCCGTAGCGTGAATAATCTTTCCACCCCTTCGTAGTGAAAAGATTGTACCCAAGCAAGACGTTGCCTCGATTCGCGGTAGCGCAACGACCTACTGTGGAAAAGGCTGCCGGTTTGCTGCACGAACCCCAAATCTATACTGCTCCACACGAGAGAGGCAAGTTCCTCAGTCTTCTGTGCTCGCTTGCTGCTAGGTCCGGGCTCCGACATGGCACGTTTGAAGTTCTGCCGATGCACCAATTCTGCTGTCCAAATCATATATTATTAGGAGTCGTCCTCTCACAGGCAGCATGCGGAGTCCGAACCTTGAACAATGGCCAGCGACTGGCGAGCGAACATGTCATGCTTTCCCAAGACTTCAATCATGCACAGCCAGCTTGCCCACACACTCGCACACATGTATACAGGAGAGAGATGCAAGAGACACACACTTTAATATATATGTAAATCTATATATATATATATATATATATATATACATATATATATATATATATAGAGAGAGAGGATATAAAAATATAAATATATCACATGTCCCCGCCGGCAGCATACTCGTAATCACACTTAGGTACCGAAATCTCAAATTCCATTTCTGTCGGCGACGACATGTTTGCACGTATATCTTATATACACATGATTGAAATCATACTAAACTTTCGAAAACACGTTCAATTTACGGTTTGACTTCAATCTTCCCATCGCGACACCGAAATGGCATTTTTTGCAACATCTGCGGTTACATCTCACCCAGATATTCTTGATCCCGACATGCCAGGCCATTAACAGCATGCTAATCCGAAAGCACATGTTTCAGAGCAGTTCACATCGCTCATGGCAAAATCCAGTTTCTCTTCAACAAGCGACAGATAGCAAAGAAGCAGCAATTAGTAAATTAAGCAACAGATAGCCCGGGCTGGAAGGCCTTCAGCAGTGGCCAAAGAAAAGGCGGCGCTTTCAGATGAGAAAGGAGGACCTCAAGGGCTTCAAACTGGATGGCATCAAAGAACCCCGCAATGTCCTGTTGTACCGCAACATTAGCGCCACCGCGCATTGCAGCGTTCAGCTGAAGCAGGGCACCCGACACCGACGTGCCCGGGATGCCACCGGCATCCGACGGAGACCTCCAAGAACCTATCCAGTCGGAAAGTTGGGCATTCAAAATCCTTGCTCCCGCACGCCAGACAGCTTGAGAGACGGTTAACGGCCTGAAGCCCCCCTTGATTTTCTTAATCATCACCACACGTGCCTGCGCCCACTGGGCGGGGACGTCACAACAAGCAAGGCACCGATTCCACAGCTGGGAGGTCCACACCCACCAAAGATCAGGCATGGAACAAAGCAGCCCAGGTTTCCACGCATCCGGCCCAGCAGCACGGTGCCGCATGGACTGCATTGATCGTCGGAGAGCCTCCGGCGTGATGTTAGGCACGACCTCCAAGCTTGCGGGGCGCGGCAAGGGCCGCAACAGGTCACGCATGGCTTGCATGTCAACCGCCCGAAAGGACGCGGGACAGAGCTTCGCACGCAGGTCCTTCGCCACAGCTGCAACCGCGACCGCCGGATGTGCAGGGTCGCCCGGACTGGCAACATCCGGAAGCTGACGCTCCCAAGCAAGTTGCTCATCAGCGCGCCGCTTGACAAAAGACCGGGCACGAGGCAGGTCAGCACGCGTCCTGGTGCGCCACATTTGCTTTCTTGCCTCCTCCTCCTGCTGCGTGAAAGTCTCGATGAGCTGTGCAACATGTGGAAGAAGAGAGAGCTCATCGCCATCACGGGCATAAGGCAGGCTGGGCACCTTCAAGCGCGTGGACCGGAGTGAGCGCCTGATACGCGCCACCAGCAAAGCATCGTTCGTCCGGTGGGAAAGAACCTGAAGCCTCGCACGGAGTCGCAGCAAAAGGCGCAGGCTCTCCGACTTCACAAGCTGCTTGCCAGCCCGTCCCGCGGCGCTGTGGGCGACAGGCTCCCAGGAAGACGCACGAGGAACGCACTCTGCAGAGCACGGCTCACACAGCAGAAGCTCAGCGGTGTCCGACAAGAAGCGCCAAGCCCCGTCCAAATCATTCTGTTCCAAGGCGCTCGCAAAAGGTCCAGCATCAATTTGAGCACATCTGGACTCCAAGTCAGAAGACTGGAGATCATCACGAGGCTTACATCGCTTGGGCCCTACCAAGGGGCAAGGAGCATCGAGGGCATACGAGTAGTGTACCCCCAAGTGGTCCGAAAAATCGCACGTAAAGTGATCCACAGAAACCGCAGGCAAGTCACGATGATTAACAGCAAAGTCAATGCGACGAGAGCGCACTCCTTGGGCATTGACCGGGCCCGTGGCAGGAAGGGGCCGGCCACGCGCACATTCATCACCAGCAAGCACGATGCCTTGCGAAATTAGCGATCCTAAGCGGCCTTGGGAAGGCTCAAGGTTGTAGTCGCCCAAAACCACAAACCTATAACCCGAGGTAACCGCACACGCCAAAACCTCATCCACTTGTGTCTGGGCAACTGGCTCGTTGCCGGCCTGGCCATAAAAGGCCACCACCAGGATGGTTTCATCAGTGGCACTCCGGGAGCTCGCAGGGAGCGAAGAATCATCCTCAGGGAGGGATCGCAAATTAAAGAGCCCCGCCACGTGCCTGGTGGAAGCAGGACCCTTACACAACTGGACGTGCCGAAAAGGAAAATCGCTGACCAAAGCAACCCGGCTGCCGAGATCCTCAGGAGCGCTCAGAGCAACATGCCGGCCATGCGCTTTCCACTGGTTGCGATAGCCGATGCCAGCCGTTTCAGGAACATTGACCTCGGACAACGCCATAATCTGTGGGGGGCCTTGCCGAAGCAGAGCATCGAGCAGCCCCACCGTCGACGTGCCACGCCGGTGAACATTCAAGCACGAAATTCGAATCACACCGACGACATGGGGGCTCGCAAGGCCTTTTCAGCAGCAGCGAAGGCGAGCTCGCCTTGCTCTTTGCGAACAGAGGCAGGAGCAGCATCATGAAGCTTCTTATTGGCAGCAAGGGAGCGCAACCGAATCCACGCCCTCGCCTTAGCAGTGCGAGAAGGGCACTGTCCCTTGACCGAACGATGCTTCCTAGCGATCTCTGCAGAGGGGCACGGCGCTCGGCATTTGCGGCACACCCAAGCCGGGCATATGCGCAAGGGATACTTATCAACAGTATTGGTGTCCTTCCCGGCCTGGCGCGGCCACCCGAAGGCATCAAAGTCCTGAGCCTCCAGCTCGCGCAGCACCGGCAGGAGCTTAGCCTTCTGGGCATTGTTGCGAGTGACACTGATCTTTGAGGCCCATTTGGTGGCCGAGTGTGATTTCGCTTCCTTGTTCCACACAGCCCAAGAGACGCGCGGGTGGGCCTTTGTTTTATGCTCCCGGCGAAAGCGCCACAAAGAGTCCTTGCCAAAGCGGGCCGCATCAGCAGTCGAGATGCCTGCCTGGCACCGTTTACATCTCCAGTACGCCTCCTCGCCATCAGCGAGGTCACGAACACAGGAAGCCTGGCGGGCAGGAGCGAGCCCAAGCTTCTCCCCCGGATGCGAATCCAAGAAGTGCCGCTGATAGGCCGCATAGGCCTTCACAGGATCAGCACACTTGCGGCGAAAGGGGCAAAGCCTGCATTTGGCAACTCCATCAGGGAAGGCACGGCCGCGATTACGACGGGCCATCACAAGGGCAGACTGAGGCAGGGCCCGGCTGGCATGATGCAACCGCTCAGGTTGCGGGGCATCATCATCGTCCCACTCCGGCAAGGCAGGCATTTGAGAATGCACGGAAGCACCAGAAGAGACGGCTCGGGACCAGACCGTCGCAGCAGCACCGCGAGCGCGCTTAAGAGAACTGGAACCAGACCGGGGGACAGCAAAACAATCGCCCCTTTGCGAACTCGGAACTGAAGCAACATGCCGGGATTGCGTAGCGGCCTTTCTGCTCGACGCGTTGGTGGCAGTCCACACAGTGCCCGCCTTCACAGAAGATGATCGGCTGGCCTTGGATCGGTTTGATCGGGCGCAAGCAGTCCAAACAGTACCAGAGCACTGGGAAGCATCATCCCCTCCAGCCCTCAAGTCAACGACAGCACCACTCGTAACGGAAAAAACCTCCTCAGGGTAGTCTTTAACATCCTTAGCGGGCAAAAGAAGCTCGATGTGCCGAGGTGTGTACCATAACACCAGCCTCCTTTTGCGCTGCTGCGCATGAAACGACATCGCACTAAAATTCCCATCGCGTGGGATCACAAGGATGTGGCAATCAAATAAGCGTCCGAGAGCCTTCAGCTCGATGGTAGAGGCGTATGCAGATTCCGAAGCAATTAACTTGAGGTATTCCTCAAAGGCGTCCTCCGGAGATGCGGCATTTTCGCGCAATTTTTGTAAAGCCGGCCCGTGGCCGTCCCATTCCCCTATATATTGCGAGGCATATTTTCGCAAGTGCTCGACACAGCGCGCCCTCAAGTCCCTGTGGGAGTGCTCGGTTTTCTTAGGGCCCGAAAGCCAGTGGAGGCCACGCGCTATGGCGTGAAACAAACAGGCTCCGTCTTTCGGAGTCTCAATGAGATCACACCCCGAGGGGATTTGCCGATGCGAAGCCGCAACATGTTTGGCAGGGGACACCTCCTTACCGTCATCATCCAGTTCAGCGGGGACCTGAATTTTAACGGATTGGGGCTCCAACGCAGGCTTCTCCTTGGCAAGACAGGGAGTCGGCGCACATCGCAGAGGTCGCTGCTTAGCTTGCTTAGGCTTGTAGGGTGCAACCGTGGCCCACAGCGTGATTTCATTGTCCTTCCCCGGCTCGCTCTCGACGATAGCACTCAAAGGAACCAGATCAAGATCGCCGTGTTTAAGCGTAGCTCTGAAGCGATACAAGTACTCAGCGCCAGTGCGCTTATGCTGAATCAAAGCCACATCCTTGAAGGATTGGTCCAGCACCTGCAGCACTTCCTTCTGTCCCCAGCTAGCCGGCACATGAGGGAAATTCCAAACACGCGGGACAGCCTGTGAGGGATCCCTAGGCGATCTGGCGCCAATGCGTCCGCCCTGGGTGGCAAGGCCATAAGGAGCACTCATGCGGAGGCCGCGTTCAAGGTACGCAGTCGGAGCTTCCCCCTTGGTAACAGCAAGCCACTGCACAGTGGAGACAAGCTTGCCGCGCGGCACATCAACAAAAACTCCATCCCGGCCACTGACAGCAACGAGAGAAGACAACTCGGAGTCCAGGAGGCGAGCAATGCCAAACAACTGCAGTCCTTGCTTGCCAGCCTGCTGCTCCTCGACCCAACCCCACGTGTCACTCAAAGTGATTTGGTGAGAGCTTGCCCAAGAAGAAGCAGCACGACTCGGGTTGTTCTTCCAATGCTTGAATTTATCAGGCGTCATGTACATCTCAGGCACCTTAAAGTAGACGACCGAAGTGGACGCAGGAACAACTTTAATGGCCTTGGCCTTGTGCCCCGCAAAGCAAGGGACACCACCATCAGCAGGGTCAGATTTGCAATGTGCAATCGAGGCTCGTCGAAAACGGAGGAGATCTCCCACACATCCCGGGACCTTGTGAGGACCATTTGCGTCCAAGGTTACAAGGGTGATTTTATGGGATTTGCTGGTGCCTGCAAGCATGGTGCGAATTCTCGGCAGCGCCGAGGGCTCGACAAGAATGACAGCTTCCAGAGTAGAACCCGGTTTAAGTTCGTCCAATGCTTTGGCAATGCCATCCTGCGACAACAACTGCGCGCTCCAATCCTGCCTTCGGAGCTGGAAGGGGCCCTGCGGGGGAGCACGCTGAACCTTGGTCCAGCCCTCAGCATCACGAGGAGGCCGGTCGCCCTGCCCTTTGCCCTTAGGTCCAGACTTGGGTGGGGACGCCTCTGCACTGCCTTTAGCAGCACCCTTGGCCGAGCCCTTTGCAGCACCAGGCTGACCACCTCTGCCACCAGCTGCTTTGCCCTCGCCCGGCTCACGAGACGAAGGATGGCGGCTCGACTCATGGTTTTTTCGCTTGTTGCTGGGGTTAGGGTCAGGCTTATGGCGTTTGGGCCCTCGCTCCAGGTCCGGTTCCTGCACAACACGGGGAGGGGTTGCCGGGGCACCTCCCATTGCATTTGCAATGGCTTCCTGCACAGCTTTCTGAATGAGCGCAGTGATCATGGGCATAAGCTGTTCCGTGATGCTGGCCATCATGCCCTCAAACGGGTTGCCGCCTCCAAACCTTAGGCCAGTGGGGCCCGAGCAGCCCTCAGGCAGGCAGGAGCGCGAGGCAGCAGCAGAGTCCTGGTCCTTTGTCACAAGAGTGCTTGCACAGGCAGAGGCAATCACGTCACTGGTATCCTGACCCAAGATCCCTTGCACTTGCACGTTACCACCCATCCTCGGAGGGACAGGTGCACTCGCAGATTGTGTCTCACACACAAAGGTTGGCATCAGGTTGCTAGGGGTCAAGTGGGATATACTCGGACCTTGCGGTCGGCCTGAACCCAAAGACCCTTGCAATTGCGCTCGGCCAGAAACCCTCGGAAGAGGCTGCCCGCCAGCAGGTCGCAGTCCACAATTGCAGTTGTGCATCAAGCCAGCAGAGCATACCTCGCACACACATGTTGGAAGCAGGCTGCTCGGGGCCAAATGGGATATACTCGGACCTTTCGGCCTACCTTGACTCACTGACCCCGGCAACTGCACACAGACAGGCGGGCTTCTTGGATCATACATGCCAGCATGGCACACGTGACACAGGCAGCAAGGCATCAAACTACCAGGGGCCACGCGGGATATACTCGGACCTTTCGGCCTGTCTTGACCCAGTGGCCCCTGCAGTTGCACACCGTCAAGATCGCTCTGAGTTTGCAGCGGTCCCGCTCTGCGCGTCGCAGGCACCTGGGCGCAGGCGCCATCAGAAAGACTCCCCACAGCCCGCATGAAACAAGCTTTGCTGGTGCAATTCGGACAGGGGCCCATGGCAGCATGAGATGTATCAAGAAAAACCCGATCCGAACCCTGCAAGTCAGCAACAAGTGGAACCTGACACATGCAAGAGGAGACTGCAACGAGCCTGGCAGGGTCCCGGCCACACACATCAGAAGCTACAGGCTCACTCTGAGGCAAGACCACACATGTCGGCACAGCATCTCTCCCTGTCAAGGGCTTGCAAGTGCACTCGGGAACTCCAAAAAGCACAGGAGGGCATCTAAACCGAAAGGGTGAAGGGAAACCCTGTTGAAGGCATTCAGCACCACACTCAGCACGGTCCTGGGACTGCTCGACGAGACCACGGTCCCCTCGACCCACAGATATGCACGCCGGCGGCGGCCTGTATTGGGAAGGCCCCCGGAGCCCTGGGTCAGCGACCCCACCTCCTCCTGGCAAAAACTCCAAACCCGGATTACACCCACCACCTGGGCTCCGGGGCCACGCTCTATTAGGTATCACAAGATCATCCCGATCAGCTGTTGCAGCAGGCTGGACATCAGGTACCCAAGGGGGCATAGGCCTAAACCCTAGGGGAGAAAGTGAGCCATGGTCAGTGCAGCAATGGGGCAGCGCATCGCCCCCAACAGAAGACACGGGTACCCCTATGGGGGAGGACCTAAACCCTAGGGGGGCAGAGGAATCACGGCAAGGGCAGCAGCCCCGGCAAGAAGCGTCGTCGGCACCACAGCGTCCTTGCCCTGCGCGATGAAGAACTGGCCGCCACCGTCACCAGCCGCCAGCGAGCCCAGGCCATGGCAGCAGCACTGCGAGGAGGAAGAACAGGGGGGCTCCGGGGAGCCATGTCTACCACTAGCACAAGTAGCTGGCACCAGACCCCCGGTCTCAGTCTCAATCTTTGCCCTTTTGCGGGTCTTGATAGCGCTGAGCTCCCACAGAACACTAAGAACACAGCCATAAAGGCTCTTCGTCCTACAGTCAGGCTCGCACTCACCATCACAATGGGCACTAGTTAGGCCTCTCAGGCTCTTTGCCCTTTCGCGGGTCTTGTTGATTTCTTGACACTCACAATCATCACTAGCTAGGCCTCTCAGGCTCTTTGCCCTTTCACGGGTCTTGTTGATTTCTTGAATGTCACACACGGGGTTCTCAGCAGCGCAAGTCGACGTCCCACATGGCCCAGCACCAAGGTCCAGACCAGACGCTGAGGGAAGAAGCTGCTGCTGCGGCGCGTAGTAAAGAAATTCCTCAGAGAAAGTGTCCTCAATCAAGTGGAGCCCAAATGCTGCACTTGCCTGCGGCACGTAGTAAAGAAACTCCTCAGAGAAAGTGTCCTCAATCATGTGAAGCCCAAATGTTGCACTTGCCTGCGTGTCAGAAGCATGCACACAAAGCTCACTCGCCAAAGGGAGCCCCTGAGCAGGGCATTCAGCCCCAGCAATAGCAAGGGCATCCTCTCGACAAACACCCATCGAGAGCTGCACCTGAGAATCATCCTCGGCAGATGCAAGACCGACCCCCGACTGCCAAGGATCTGCCACGGCAGCAGAGTTGCTGCCCCCACTGGTGCCATCTGAGCTGGCCCCCACTGAAGCCCCTGACCACAAGCCAAAGGCCCCTACTGCGCTCCACACCATAGTTCTCGGCACACCACGTTGAGCCAAGAAATCAAAATCCTTCTGGAACAGCTGAAGCTGAAAACCACGTGCTCGAACAATGAAAGCGCTCAGCATTTGCAGGTGCTGAGCCACCCACGGTTGCGCATCTCGGTCATTGCCAGACGCTTTGCCCCAGCTGCCGAAGCAGCTCTTTTCTTTCCCATTCACTTCTTTTCCCAACAAAGAAGCACCATCACTCAAAGCACAATGCATTCGCTTCAAAGATCGCCCTAAGTGTAGGTAGCACCCACAATCAAGGCCTCCAGAAGAAGGAGCCATGGCCCGAAGGCACGTGTGGGAAGTGTCAGCCCTGCACTCGGGAAAGTACAGGTTAACCAGCTCAAGGCACGCGGAGCCCCTCCCCACTTGAGCCCAAAACTCCAGAATTTCCGGCGGTCTGGGGGCTGAGCGACTTCGAGAAGACCGCTCAGCTGCTGTCCGAGGTCCTCGCGGGTCGGGTGAAACATCCCGCAACCTGCTGATACATCTAGGAGAGTGCGAAGCTGTGCAGCACAAGTCCAGAGCGATGATCATCAGCGACACTATTAACAAAAGACGAGGCACCATTAAGAGAGCCTTCGCCACACGTCGAATGGGAGGGAAGTCAGGTAGCCGCAGTCCGTCTGACATGAAACCTCCTCTTGTGAAAAGTAACGAATTGGATGTATCAGATTAGCAACGCAATCACATCCGGAAACATTCCGAGCAGCAAGCTACAGATCGGAATAAAGCTCGAAACGACATGACCTGAGCAGCGAAGCTACGAGTCAGGTCAAAAGCCCGGAGCAGCAGAGCTACAAATCCGAGTACAACTCAAACGACACGAATTGAAGGAAACAAGCTCGCGGGAAACTCTCACGTCACTTCAGAAGGCACCGTCAGTGGAGCTCAGAGGACCTCGCTTCCGCAGCCCACAGCAGCCGCCCTTGTAGTAGACGCCGAAGAGGGAGAAGGGTGAGCCAGCAGCCGAACCAGCAGCAGCAGCGCCAGACCAGAGAGACAGAGCAGTGCCGCGCTAAGTTGCGCCGAGCGCACGCCCAATGCACACAGGTACCCCTAGGGGAGGGAACAGAGCCAAAACCCGAACAACCCAAAAGGAACAAGGGCCATCGAGAGAGGATGCCACGTGAAAGGTCAAGAAAGCGTGAGGCATCACGCGCACACGAAAGGTGTTAGATGCGTAGGCAACCCTAGCAAGCAGCAGCAGCTCTAGTAGAGCGAAGATGCACTCAGCGAGAGGCCAAAGCGCGCCTCAATTGCCCACAGGGGCTCCTAAGAGAAGGGAAGGGCCTAAACCCGAAAACCCGAAAGGAGAGGGCTAGCCTAAAGAAGCGAACCCGCACCAGCAGCAGCAGTGCCAAGCCCGAGCCAAGCTTGCAGCGCTCGGAGTGGTTCGAGGCTCGCACCCGGTAGAAGCGGATGGGCCGTAGCAAGGTCGGCAAAATTTTGTTACAAGAAACGTCCCAATATCAGGGACTCCCGCCGGCTGCAGCAGCGCCACACAAGGGAGCATAGCCGCGCTCAGCAGAAGGCCTGAGCTCACGCGAGGTGCACACAGGGACCCCTAGAGGAGAAAGGCCTAAACCCAAAGAAACCCTAAGGGGGGCAAAGGCATCGCGGAGCCACGGAAACCTGGGAAAGCAAGCTCCACACAATAGCAGCAGCACCACGGTTCCGCCCACACATAAGGAGTGCGAGCGGCACACACACGAAGTACATGCCAAGGGCAATCAAAGAATTGAGAGGCCCAAAGTGTGTCCAAGATTATTCTGGTGCAGCAAAGGTTTGTCAGGGCCTAGCCCCTTCGGGCTCAGCATCATCAAGAGGAACACTCTTCACATGTTTGTCCAGCTTCTCGGCAGCAGCTGCCGCAAGCCGGATGGTAGTCAGCTCCCAATCCCGAGCCTGATCACACTGCTGATGCCATCGCTCCCTGAGACAGCCCGAGAGTCTGTTTTGCATGCAGTTGCCCGCCGCCTGATCTGCAGCATCGTTAAAGGCGCGGAGCACATCCGCATCATGATCCGGCGAGGGCCTCCAGCGGGGGTGCTTATTATGAGACGGCACCCAAATCAAGGAGATAGCACAGCCGCGCCTCTCCAGCTCCTTCCAGAGACGGCACGCGTCCCTCAGCAAGAGACCCAAAGTAAAGGGATCATCACCATGGCCCGAGATGGCCGTCATGGCAGCTTTGCAGTCAGTCAAGAGAAAGATGCACTTCTCGCAGCCCTCACTCCACACCCGGTGGATCGACTCAAATGCCGCATGGAGGGCCAGCACTTCTTGCCGATACGGGGATTGGTCCTCTGCCCCAGTACCCATGGCATAGGCACAAGACGGATCACCAATCACCACGGCAAAAGCTCCGACAGATCGATGGCTGGAGCCATCAGTAGCCACATAAATCCTGCTCCGGCCCGAACCGAGCGCAGCACGGAAAGCAGTATCTAAGTCCGCCCGAAAAGCTCCACCGTCAGAGGAGGCAGGCGCCGGAGGCTTCAAGGGAGTCGACTTTGCAAACATGCGCTCCTCCGCTCGCGTCGTCGGCGGGGGATGGTCCCGTCGGAGCGCCTCGGTGCACTCGCAAACCCAGGTCACATGCGGTCGCGACGGAGCAGTAGCGCCGCAGAGGCATTGCATGCGCCGGCGCTGCTCGTTCAACCCCTGCCCGGCCGTAAAGAACCAGCACGAGCCTCCCGTGACAGCAGCGGCCCGTCGCATATAAGGAGTGGTCGCCTCATGCATGGCAACACGGTGCCCACGAAAGCTGAAGCGCGCATCCCGCAAAGGAGGCTCAAGATCCAGGCCTCGTGCAAGGCTCGGGTCCGGCCTATGGAAGCTACGCCAGACACGCTGGCATCTCTGCATGTAAAGATGCCGGTAGTGGTCAAACAGCCAGCCCTTTACCTCAGCAAAGCTCTCCCATCCGACCTGCACTTCACGAGAGATTCCCAAGTCATCGCGGCAGGCGAAAAAGAAGCCGTCAGGGCGTTCAACGACGCTCCACCCCAATCTGCGGAGAAGGTCAGGCGCAGCAGGCAACAGCTGATCCCAGCGCTGGCCGGACGTCACGCGGCTGCTCCAGGGCAAAAGCCGGAGGCTTGCAGAGAAGGCGCCAGGCCTCGCGGAGCACAGCAGAGTCAGCAGCACACTGCGGCTCCAGCATCCACCCCACATGTTCGAAGATCAGGACGCGCGGGGCTTCAAAGGAAAATTGACAGTCAAATACCCGAATCGCAGCATCTCTAACTTGTTTCATCTCGCCTGCCAGTGGCGTAGCGTAGGCAGCGGCCCACACCAAACACGGGTAAACAAGCGATTTCAACATGAGGCCCCGCAATCGACTGCAAGCAGTCACCCAGCGCAAAAGATCCATGCGCAGCAAAGCTTTTCTCAAGGAAAATTTCCGCAAGCCCCATTCATCATTAAAGGAAACAGAGACACCTAATACTTCAAGGGTTTGCGAGTACTGATAGTTTAATCGGGCAGCCAGAGCAGGAGCCTCAACATGACCCTCTGGCGCCACGATCGCACACTTTGGCAAGGATATTTCTAGACCGCAAGTGGCATCGAATCGGTTGGAGCGCTGAATCGCATGCTCCAGGTCGCTGAGATCCGCAGAAAAAGTCCAGAAGGAACGGTCGTCCAAATAGACCAGGCCTGAAACCCCTTGCCTCAACACAGCCAAGGTCCAAAGGTGGCTGAATGCGGCAGCTAGGGTGGGACTTAAGGGACAACCCTGAGCTATACCCAAGCGGGGCTTAAACCAGGCATCGCTGTATGCGCCATCAAATTGGACGATGCGCGAAGCTCGCGTGTAAAAGGCCTTCAGCAGCGGCCAAAGAAAAGGCGGCGCTTTCAGATGAGAAAGGAGGACCTCAAGGGCTTCAAACTGGATAGCATCAAAGAACCCCGCAATGTCCTGTTGAACCGCAACACTGGCGCCACCGCGCATTGCAGCATTCAGCTGAAGCAGGGCACCCGACACCGACGTGCCCGGGATGCCGCCGGCATCCGACGGGGACCTCCACGAACCTATCCAGTCGGAGAGTTGGGCATTCAAAATCCTTGCTCCCGCACGCCAGACAGCTTGAGAAATGGTTAACGGCCTGAAGCCTCCTTTGAGTTTTTTAATCATCACCACACGTGCTTGCGCCCACTGGGCTGGGACATCACAACAAGCGAGGCACCGATTCCACAGCTGGGAGGTCCACACCCACCAAAGATCAGGCATGGAGCATAGCAGTCCAGGTTTCCACGCATCCGGTCCGGCAGCACGGTGCCGCATGGACTGCATTGACCGTCGAAGAGCCTCAGGCGTGATGTTAGGCACAACCTCCAAGCCAGCAGGGCGCGGCAAGGGCCGCAACAGGTCACGCATGGCTTGCATGTCAACCGCCCGAAAGGACGCGGGACAGAGCTTCGCACGCAGATCCTTCGCCACAGCTGCGACCGCTACCGCCGGATGTGCAGGGTCGCCCGGACTGGCAACATCCGGAAGCTGACGCTCCCAAGCAAGTTGCTCGTCAGCGCGCCGCTTGACAAAAGACCGGGCACGAGGCAGGTCAGCACGCGTCCTGGTGCGCCACATTTGCTTTCTAGCATCCTCCTCCTGCTGCGTGAAAGTCTCGATGAGCTGTTCAACATGTGGAAGAAGAGAGAGCTCATCTCCATCACGGGCATAAGGCAGGCTTGGCACCTTCAAGCGCGTGGACCGGAGTGAGCGCCTGATTCGCGCCACCAGCGAAGCATCGTTCGTCCGGTGGGAAAGAACCTGAAGCCTCGCACGGAGTCGCAGCAAGAGGCGCAGGCTTTCCGACTTAACAGGCTGCTTGCCCGACCGTCCCGCAGCACTGGAGGTAACAGGCTCCCACGAAGACGCACGAGGGACGCACTCTGCAGAGCACGGCTCACACAGAAGGGCCTCGGCAGTGTCCGACAAGAAGCGCCAAGCACCGTCCAAATCATTATGTTCCAAAGCAAGCGCAAACGGTCCTGCATCGATTTGAGCACATCTGGTCTCCAAGTCAGAAGGCAGGAGATCGTCGCGAGGCTTGCATCTCCTGGGCCCAACCAAGGGGCGAGGGGCAGCAAGGGCATACGAGTAGTGCACACCCAAATGGTCCGACCAATCGCACTGAAAGTGATCCACTGAAACCGCTGGCAGGTCACGGTGGTTAACAGCGAAATCGATGCGACGAGAGCGCACTCCCTGGGCATTGACCGGGCCCGTGGCAGGAAGAGGCCGGCCACGTGCACACTCATCACCAGCAAGAACGGTGCCTTGAGCAATTAGCGACCCTAAGCGGCCCTGGGAAGGCTCGAGGTTGTAGTCGCCTAAAACCACAAATCTATAACCCGAGGTCACCGCACACGCCAAGACTTCATCCACTTGTGTCTGGGCAACTGGCTCATTGCCAGCCTGACCATAAAAGGCCACAACCAGGATGGTTTCATCAGTGGCACTCCGGGAGCTCGCAGGAAGCGAAGAATCATCGGCAGGGAGAGATCGCAAATTAAAGAGCCCCGCCACATGCCTGGTGGAAGCAGGACCCTTGCATAACTGAACGTGCCGAAAAGGAAAATCGCTGACCAAAGCAACGCGGCTGCCGAGATCCTCAGGAGCGCTCAGAGCAACATGTCTGCCATGCGCTTTCCACTGGTTGCAATAGCCGACGCCAGCCGTTTCAGGAACGTTGACCTCGGATAACGCCATGATCTGTGGGGGGCCTTGCCGAAGCAGAGCATCAAGCAGCCCCACCGTCGACGTGCCACGCCGGTGAACATTCAAGCACGAAAGTCGAATCACACCGACGACATGGGGGCTCGCAAGGCCTTTTCAGCAGCAGCGAAGGCGAGCTCGCCTTGCTCTGTGCGAACAGAGGCAGGAGCAGCATCATGGATCTTTTTATATGCAGCAAGGGAGCGCAACCGAATCCACGCCCTCGCCTTAGCAGTGCGAGAAGGGCACTGTCCCTTGACCGAACGATGCTTCCGAGCAATCTCTGCAGAGTAGCACGGCGCTCGGCATTTGCGGCACACCCAAGCCGGGCATATGCGCAAGGGATACTTATCAACAGTATTAGTGTCCTTCCCGGCCTGGCGCGGCCACCCGAAGGCATCAAAATCCTGAGCCTCAAGCTCGCGCAGCACCGGCAGGAGCTTAGCCTTCTGGGCATTGTTACGAGTGACACTGATCTTTGAGGCCCATTTGGTAGCCGAGTGTGATTTCGCTTCCTTGTTCCACACAGCCCAAGAGACGCGCGGGTGGGCCTTTGTTTTATGCTCCCGGCGAAATCGCCACAGGGAGTCCTTGCCAAAGCGGGCCGCATCAGCAGTCGAGATGCCTGCCTGGCACCGTTTGCATCTCCAGTGCGCCTCCTCGCCATCAGCGAGGTTACGAACACAGGAAGCCTTGCATGCAGGAGCGAGTCCAAGCTTCTCCCCCGGATGCGAATCCAAGAAATGCCGCTGATAGGCCGCATAAGCCTTCACAGGATCAGCACACTTGCGGCGGAAGGGACAAAGCCTGCATTTCGCAACTCCATCAGGGAAAGCTCGGCCGCGGTTTCGACGGGCCATAACGAGGGCAGACTGAGGCAGGGCCCGGTTGGCATGATGCAAACGCTCAGGGCGCGGGGCATCATCATCGTCCCACTCCGGCAAGGCAGGCATTTGAGAATGCACGGAAGCATCTGAAGAGACGGCTCGGGACCATACCGTCACGGCAGCACCGCGAGCGCGCTTGAGACAACTTGGACCGGACCGATGGCCAGCAATGCAATCATCCCTTTGCGAACTCGGAACTGAAGCATCACGCCGGGATTGTGAAACGGCCTTTTTGCTCGATGTGTTGACAGCAGTCCACACAGTACCCGCCTTCACAGAGGAGGTTCGACTGGCCTTGGACCGGTTGGATCGGGCGCTACCTGTCCAAACCGTACCCGAGCACTGGGAGGCATCATCACCTCCGGCACGCAGGTCCACGACAGCACCGCTCGTAACAGCGAAAATCTCCTCGGGGTACTCTCGAGAGTCCTTAGCCGGCAAAAGAAGCTCAATATGTTTAGGCGTATACCACAACACCAGTGTCCTCTTGCGCTGCTGCGCATGAAAAGTCATCGCACTAAAATTGCCATCACGAGGGATGACCAAGATGCGACAGTCAAACAAGCGGCCGAGGGCTTTTATTTCGATGGTAGAGGCGTATGCAGACTCAGAAGCGAGTAACTTGAGGTATTCCTCAAAGCCCGCCTCCGGTGATTCAGCTTTTTCGCGCAATTTTTGTAACTCCGGCCCATGGCCGTCCCACTCACCAATATACTGCGAAGCGTGCTTACGTAAATGCTCTACGCACCGCGCCCTCAGGTCTCTGTGGGAATGCTCGGCCTTCTTAGGGCCCGAAAGCCAGTTGAGACCACGCGCAATCGCATGAAAGAGACATGCTCCGTCTTTCGGAGTCTCAATGAGATCACACCCCGAGGGGATTTGACGATGCGAAGCAGCAACATGCTTGGCAGGGGACACCTCCTTACCTTCAGCATCGAGCTCGGCGGGAACCTGAAGTCGAACGGGCTGGGGCTCCAGCGCAGGCTTCTCCTTGGCAAGGCAGGGAGTCGGCGCACAGCGCAAAGGTCGCTGCTTAGCATGCTTAGGCTTGTAAGGCGCAACCGTAGCCCACAGCGTGATTTCATTGTCCTTTCCCGGCTCGCTCTCGACGATGGCACTCAAAGGAACCAAGTCATGATCGCCGTGCTTAAGCGTGGCTCTGAAGCGATACAAGTACTCAGCACCCGTGCGCTTATGCTGAATCAAAGCCACATCCTTGAAGGATTGGTCCAACACCTGCAGCACTTCCTTCTGTCCCCAGCTGGCCGGCACATGAGGAAAATTCCAGACACGCGGGACAGCCTGCAATGCGTCCGCCCTGGGTGGCGAGACCGTAAGGAGCACTCATGCGGAGGCCGCGTTCAAGATACGCAATCGGAGCTTCGCCCTTGGTAGCAGCAAGCCACTGCACAGTGGAGACAAGCTTGCCGCGCGGCACATCAACAAAAACTCCATCCCGGCCACTGACAGCAACGAGAGAAGACAACTCGGTGTCCAGGAGGCGAGCAATGCCAAACAGTTGCAGGCCTTGCTTACCAGCCTGCTGCTCCTCGATCCAACCCCACGTGTCACTCAAAGTGATTTGGTGAGAACTAGCCCAAGAAGAAGCAGCACGACTCGGGTTGTTCTTCCAATGCTTGAATTTATCAGGCAACATGTACATCTCAGGCACCTTAAAGTAGACAACCGAAGTGGACGCAGGAACAACTTTAATGGCCTTGGCCTTGTGCCCCGCAAAGCAAGGGACGCCACCATCAGCAGGGTCAGATTTGCAATGTGCAATCGAGGCTCGTCGGAACCGCAGGAGATCACCCACACTTCCCGGGACCTTGTGAGGACCATTCGCGTCCAAGGTTACAAGGGTGATTTTATGAGATTTGCTGGTGCCAGCAAGCATGGTCCGAATTCTCGGCAGCGCCGAGGGCTCAACAAGAATGACAGCTTCCAGAGTAGAACCCGGTTTAAGGTCGTCCAATGCTTTGGCAATTCCATCCTGCGACAAAAGCTGCGCGCTCCAATCCTGCGATCGGAGCTGGAAGGGGCCCTGCGGGGGAGCACGCTGAACCTTGGTCCAGCCCTCAGCATCACTGGGAGGCCGGTCTCCCTGGCCTTTACCCTTTGATCCAGACTTGGGTGGTGCACCTCTGCACTACCTTTAGCAGCACCCTTGGCCGATCCCTTTGCAGCAACAGGCTGACCACCTCTGCCACCAGATGCTTTGCCCTCGCCCGGCTCACGATAAGTGGGATGGCGACTCGAATCGTGGTTTTTTCGCTTGTTGCTGGGGGTAGGGTCAGGCTTGTGGCGTTTGGGCCCCCGCTCCAGGTTCGGCTCCTGCAGCACAACACGGGGAGGGGTTGCCGGGGCACCTCCCATTGCATTTGCAATGGCTTCCTGCACAGCTTTCTGAATGAGCGCAGTGATCATGGGCATGAGCTGTTCCGTGATGCTGGCCATCATGCCCTCAAACGGGTTGCCGCCTCCAAACCGCAGGCGGGGACCCGAACAGCCCTCAGCCAGGCAGGAGCGCGAGGCAGCAGCAGAGTCCTGGTCCTGAGTCATTAGAGTGCTTGCACGGGCAGAGGCAATCACGTCGCTGGTATCCTCGGAGGAACAGGTGCACTCGCAGATTGTGCCTTGCGGTCGGCCACAAACGCTGTTATGCATCAAGCCATCGGAGCATACCTCGCACGCACATGTTGGAAGCAGGCTGCTGGGGGCCAAATGGGATATACTCGGACCTTTCGGCCTACCTTGACCCACTGACCCCTGCAACTGCACACAGACAGGCGGGTTTCTAGGATCATACATGTCAGCAGGGCACACGTCACACAGGCAGTAAGGCAGCAAACTACCAGGAACCACGCGGGATATACTCGGACCTTTCGGCCTGTCTTGACCCAGTGGCCCCTGCAACTGCGCACCGTCAAGATCACTCTGAGTTTTCAACGGTCCTGCTAGGCGCGTCGCAGGCACCTGGGCGCAGGCGCCACCAGAAAGACTCCCCGCAGCCCGCATGAAACAAGCTTGGCTAGTGCAATTCGGACTGTGGCCCATGGTAGCATGAGATGCATCAAGAGAGACCTGATCCGAACCCTGCAAGTCAGCAACCTGTGGAACCTGACACATGCAAGAGGAGACTGCTTCGAGCCTATCACCGTCCAGGCCACACACTTCAGAAGTTGCAGGCTCACTCTGAGGCAAGGCCGCACATGTTGGCACAGCATCTCTCCCTGTCGAAGGCTTGCAAGTGCACTCGGGTACTCCTAAAGGAACAGGAGGGGGCCTAAACCGAAAGGGAGAAGGGAAACCCAGTTGCAGGCATTCGCCACCGCAGTCAGCACGGTCCTTGTACTGCTCGACGAGACCACGGTCCCCTCGATACACCGATGTATTACACGCCGACGGCGGTCTGTATTGGTGAGGCCCCCGAAGCCCTGGGTCAGCGACCCCACCTCCTCCTGCCAAAAACACAAAACCCGGATTGCACCCACCGCCTGGGCTCCGGGGGCACGCTCTATTTGGCATCACAAGGTCATCCCGACCAGTCGTTGCAGCGGCCTGGACATCAGGTACCCAAGAGGGCAAAGGCCTAAACCCTAGGGGAGAAAGGGAGCCTTGGTCAGTGCAGCAGTGGGGCAGCACATCGCCCCCGACAGAGGACACGGGTACCCCTACGGGGAGGACCTAAACCCTAGGGAGGCAAAGGAACCACGGCAAGGGCAACAGCCCCGAGAAGAAGTGTCATCAGCCACCGCCCCATCGTCCTTGCCCTGCGCGATGTAGAACTGGCCGCCACCGTCGCCGGCCGCCAGCGAGCCCAGGCCATGGCAGCAGCACTGCGAGGAGGAAGAACAGGGGGGCTCCGAGGAGCCAGGTCTACCTCTAGCACAAGTAGCTGGCACCAGTAGCCCAGCCTCAGTCTCGATCTTTGCCCTTTCGCGGGTCTTGGTAGTGCAGAGCCCCCACAAGACTTTAAGAACACGGCCGTAAAGGCTCTTCTTGCTACAGTCAAGCTCGCACTCACCATCACAAGAAACACTAGTTAGGCCACACAGGCTCTTTGCCCTTTCGCGGGTCTTGTTGATTTCTTGACACTCACAATCGGTACTAGCTAGGCCTCTAAGGCTCTTTGCCCTTTCACGGGTCTTATTGATTTCTTGGTTGTCACACACAGGGTTCTCAGCAGCGCAAGTCGACGTCCCACATGGCCCAGCACCAAGGTCCAGACCAGGCGCTGAGGAAAGAAGCTGCTGCTGCGGCGCGTAGTAAAGAAACTCCTCAGAGAAAGTGTCCTCAATCAAGTGGAGCCCAAATGCTGCACTTGCCTGCGGCGCGTAGTAAAGAAACTCCTCAGAGAAACTGTCCTCAATCATGTGGTGCCCAAATGTTGCACCTGCCTGCATGTCAGGAGCATGCGCACAAGGCTCATTCGCCAAAGGTGGCCCCTGAGCAGGGCATTCATCCCCAGCAATCTCGTGATCCATCCCCGAGGACCAAGAGGTTGCAGCAGCAAGCAGGTTGCCGCCCACACACGTGCCATCGGAGCTCTCAATCTCCGAAGCCCCTGGTCGGAGCCCCCAGGTCCCAACAGCGCACCACACCATGGAAATTGGCACACCGCGTTGAGCCAAGAAATCCAAATCCTTCTGGAACAGCTGAAGCTGAAAATCACGTGCTCGAACAATGAAAGCGCTCAGCATTTGCAAACGCTGAGCCACCCACGGTTGCGCATCTCGGACATTGCCAGACGCTTTGCCCCAGCTACCGAAGCAGCTCTTTTCTTTCCCATTCACTTCTTTTCCCAACAAAGAAGCACCATCACTCAAAGCACGATTCATTCGCTTCAGAGAACGCCGAAAGTGTAGGTAGAACCCACAATCAAGGCCTCCAGAAGAAGGAGCCATGGCCCGAAGGCACGTGTGGGAAGTGTCAGCCCTGTACCTGGGAAAGTACAGGTTAACCAGCTCAAGACGCGAGGAGTCCCTTCCCACTTGAGCCACAAAACTCCAGAATTTCCGGCGATCTGGGGGCTGAGCGACTTCGAGAAGACCGCTCAGCTGCTGTCCGAGGTCCTCGCGGGTCGGGTGAAACATCCCGTAACCTGCTGAGTCATCAAGGAGAGTGCGGAAGCTGTGCAGCACAAGTCCAGATCGATGATTCTCAGCGACACTATTAACAAAAGACGAGGCAACATTAAGAGAGCCTTCGCCACACGTCGAATGGGAGGGAAGTCAGGTAGCCGCAGTCCGTCTGACATGTACCTCCTCTTGTGAAGAGCAACAAATTGGATGTATCAGATTAGCTACGCAATCACATCCGGAACCATTCCGAGCAGCAAGCTACAGTTCGGAATAAAGCTTGAAACGACATGACCTGAGCAGCAAAGCTACGAGTCAGGTCAAAAGCCCGGAGCAGCAGAGCTACAAATCCGAGTACAACTCAAACGACACGAATTGAAGGAGAGCAAGCTCGCGGGAGACTCTCGCGTCACTTCAGAAGGCACCGTCAGTGGAGCTCAGAGGACCTCGCTTCCGCAGCCCACAGCAGCCGCCCTTGTAGTAGACGCCGAAGAGGAAGAAGGGTGAGTCAGCAGCCCAACCAGCAGCAGCAGCGCCAGACCAGAAAGGCATAGCAGTGCCGCGCTCAGTTGCGCCGACCGCACGCCCAGTGCACACAGGTACTCCTAGGGGAGGGAACAGAGCCTAAACCCGAACACCCAAAATGAACAAGGGCCGTCGAGAGAGGATGCCACGTGAAATTTCAAGAAAGCGTGAGGCATCACGCGCGAACGGAAGGTGTTAGATGCGCAGACAAACCTTGCCAGCAGCATCGGCACCAGTAGAGCGTAGATGCACTCAGCGAGGGGCCAAAGCGCACAGCGCTCGGAGTGGTTCGAGGCTCGCACCCGGTAGAAGCGGATGGGCCGTAGCAAGGTCGAGCAAAATTTGTTGCAAGAAACGTCCCAATATCAGGGACTCCCGCCGGCTGCAGCAGCGCCACACAAGGGAGCATAGCCGCACTCAGCAGAAGGCCTGAGCTCACGCGAGGTGCACACAGGGACCCCTAGGGGAGAAAGGCCTAAACCCAAAGAAAACCCTAAGGGGGGGCAAAGGCATCGCGGAGCAACGGAAACCTGGGAAAGCAAGCTCCACACAATAGCAGCAGTACCACGCAACAAAGCGAGGCCGCGCTCATGCATAGAGGAGTTGACGCCAGGTGCACACGGAAACCACTAGGGGAAAGATGGGGCCTAAACCCAAGCAAACCCGAAGAGGAGCAGGCGGGAAGTGATTGTTCGTTCAGCCCACACATAAAGAGTGCAAGCGGCACACACACGAAGTACATGCCAAGGGCAATCAAAGAATTGAGAGGCCCAAGGTGTGTCCAAAAATATTCTGGTGCAGCAAAAGTTTGTCAGGGCCTAGCCCCTTCGGGCTCAGCATCATCAAGAGGAACACTCTTCACATGTTGGTCCAGCTTCTCGGCAGCAGCTGCCGCAAGCCGGATGGTAGTCAGCTCCCAATCCCGAGCCTGATCACACTGCTGATGCCATCGCTCCCTGAGACAGCCCGAGAGTCGGTTTTGCATGCAGTTACCCGCCGCCTGATCTGCAGCATGGTTAAAGGCGCGGAGCACATCCGCATCATGATCCGGCGAGGGCCTCCAGCGGGGGTGCTTATTATGTGACGGCACCCAAATCAAGGAGATAGCACAGCCGCGCCAGCTCCTTCCAGAGACGGCGCGCGTCCCTCAGCAAGAGACCCAAAGTAAAGGGATCATCACCATGGCCCGAGATGGCCGTCAGGGCAGCTTTGCAGTCAGTCAAGAGAAAGATGCACTTCTCGCAGCCCTCACTCCACACCCGGTGGATCGACTCAAATGCCGCATGGAGGGCCAGCACTTCTTGCCGATACGGGGATTGGTCCTCTGCCCCAGTACCCATGGCATAGGCACAAGACGGATCACCAATCACCACGGCAAAAGCTCCGACAGATCGATGGCTGGAGCCATCAGTAGCCACATAAATCCTGCTCCGGCCCGAACCGAGCGCAGCACGGAAAGCAGTATCTAAGTCCGCCCGAAAAGCTCCACCGTCAGAGGAGGCAGGCGCCGGAGGCTTCAAGGGAGTCGACTTTGCAAACATGCGCTCCTCCGCTCGCGTCGTCGGCGGGGGATGGTCCCGTCGGAGCGCCTCGGTGCACTCGCAAACCCAGGTCACATGCGGTCGCGACGGAGCAGTAGCGCCGCAGAGGCATTGCATGCGCCGGTGCTGCTCGTTCAACCCCTGCCCGGCCGTAAAGAACCAGCACGAGCCTCCCGTGACAGCAGCGGCCCGTCGCATATAAGGAGTGGTCGCCTCATGCATGGCAACACGGTGCCCACGAAAGCTGAAGCGCGCATCCCGCAAAGGAGGCTCAAGATCCAGGCCTCGTGCAAGGCTCGGGTCCGGCCTATGGAAGCTGCGCCAGACACGCTGGCATCTCTGCATGTAAAGATGCCGGTAGTGGTCAAACAGCCAGCCCTTTACCTCAGCAAAGCTCTCCCATCCGACCTGCACTTCACGAGAGATTCCCAAGTCATCACGGCAGGCGAAAAAGAAGCCGTCAGGGCGTTCAACGACGCTCCACCCCAATCTGCGGAGAAGGTCAGGCGCAGCAGGCAACAGCTGATCCCAGCGCTGGCCCCGGACGTCACGCGGCTGCTCCAGGGCAAAAGCCGGAGGCTTGCAGAGAAGGCGCCAGGCCTCGCGGAGCACAGCAGAGTCAGCAGCACACTGCGGCTCCAGCATCCACCCCACATGTTCGAAGATCAGGACGCGCGGGGCTTCAAAGGAAAATTGACAGTCGAATACCCGAATCGCAGCATCTCTAACTTGTTTCATCTCGCCTGCCAGTGGCGTAGCGTAGGCAGCGGCCCACACCAAACACGGGTAAACAAGCGATTTCAACATGAGGCCCCGCAATCGACTGCAAGCAGTCACCCAGCGCAAAAGGTCCATGCGCAGCAAAGCTTTTCTTAAGGAAAATTTCAGCAAGCCCCATTCATCATTAAAGGAAACAGAGACACCTAATACTTCAAGGGTTTGCGAGTACTGATAGTTTAATCGGGCAGCCAGAGCAGGAGCCTCAAAATGACCCTCTGGCGCCACGATCGCACACTTTGGCAAGGATATTTCTAGACCGCAAGTGGCATCGAATCGGTTGGAGCGCTGAATCGCATGCTCCAGGTCGCTGAGATCCGCAGAAAAAGTCCAGAAGGAACGGTCGTCCAAATAGACCAGGCCTGAAACCCCTTGCCTCAACACAGCCAAGGTCCAAAGGTGGCTGAATGCGGCAGCTAGGGTGGGACTTAAGGGACAACCCTGAGCTATACCCAAGCGGGGCTTAAACCAGGCATCGCTGTATGCGCCATCAAATTGGACGATGCGCGAAGCTCGCGTGTAAAAGGCCTTCAGCAGCGGCCAAAGAAAAGGCGGCGCTTTCAGATGAGAAAGGAGGACCTCAAGGGCTTCAAACTGGATAGCATCAAAGAACCCCGCAATGTCCTGTTGAACCGCAACACTGGCGCCACCGCGCATTGCAGCATTCAGCTGAAGCAGGGCACCCGACACCGACGTGCCCGGGATGCCGCCGGCATCCGACGGGGACCTCCACGAACCTATCCAGTCGGAGAGTTGGGCATTCAAAATCCTTGCTCCCGCACGCCAGACAGCTTGAGAAATGGTTAACGGCCTGAAGCCTCCTTTGAGTTTCTTAATCATCACCACACGTGCTTGCGCCCACTGGGCTGGGACATCACAACAAGCGAGGCACCGATTCCACAGCTGGGAGGTCCACACCCACCAAAGATCAGGCATGGAGCATAGCAGTCCAGGTTTCCACGCATCCGGTCCGGCAGCACGGTGCCGCATGGACTGCATTGACCGTCGAAGAGCCTCAGGCGTGATGTTAGGCACAACCTCCAAGCCAGCAGGGCGCGGCAAGGGCCGCAACAGATCACGCATGGCTTGCATGTCAACCGCCCGAAAGGACGCGGGACAGAGCTTCGCACGCAGATCCTTCGCCACAGCTGCGACCGCTACCGCCGGATGTGCAGGGTCGCCCGGACTGGCAACATCCGGAAGCTGACGCTCCCAAGCAAGTTGCTCGTCAGCGCGCCGCTTGACAAAAGACCGGGCACGAGGCAGGTCAGCACGCGTCCTGGTGCGCCACATTTGCTTTCTAGCATCCTCCTCCTGCTGCGTGAAAGTCTCGATGAGCTGTTCAACATGTGGAAGAAGAGAGAGCTCATCTCCATCACGGGCATAAGGCAGGCTTGGCACCTTCAAGCGCGTGGACCGGAGTGAGCGCCTGATTCGCGCCACCAGCGAAGCATCGTTCGTCCGGTGAGAAAGAACCTGAAGCCTCGCACGGAGTCGCAGCAAGAGGCGCAGGCTTTCCGACTTCACAGGCTGCTTGCCCGACCGTCCCGCAGCACTGGAGGTAACAGGCTCCCACGAAGACGCACGAGGGACGCACTCTGCAGAGCACGGCTCACACAGAAGGGCCTCGGCAGTGTCCGACAAGAAGCGCCAAGCACCGTCCAAATCATTATGTTCCAAAGCAAGCGCAAACGGTCCTGCATCGATTTGAGCACATCTGGTCTCCAAGTCAGAAGGCAGGAGATCGTCGCGAGGCTTGCATCTCCTGGGCCCAACCAAGGGGCGAGGGGCAGCAAGGGCATACGAGTAGTGCACACCCAAATGGTCCGACCAATCGCACTGAAAGTGATCCACTGAAACCGCTGGCAGGTCACGGTGATTAACAGCGAAATCAATGCGACGAGAGCGCACTCCCTGGGCATTGACCGGGCCCGTGGCAGGAAGAGGCCGGCCACGTGCACACTCATCACCAGCAAGAAAGGTGCCTTGAGCAATTAGCGACCCTAAGCGGCCCTGGGAAGGCTCGAGGTTGTAGTCGCCTAAAACCACAAATCTATAACCCGAGGTCACCGCACACGCCAAGACTTCATCCACTTGTGTCTGGGCAACTGGCTCATTGCCAGCCTGACCATAAAAGGCCACAACCAGGATGGTTTCATCAGTGGCACTCCGGGAGCTCGCAGGAAGCGAAGAATCATCGGCAGGGAGAGATCGCAAATTAAAGAGCCCCGCCACATGCCTGGTGGAAGCAGGACCCTTGCATAACTGAACGTGCCGAAAAGGAAAATCGCTGACCAAAGCAACGCGGCTGCCGAGATCCTCGGGAGCGCTCAGAGCAACATGTCTGCCATGCGCTTTCCACTGGTTGCAATAGCCGATGCCAGCCGTTTCAGGAACATTGACCTCGGATAACGCCATGATCTGTGGGGGGCCTTGCCGAAGCAGAGCATCAAGCAGCCCCACCGTCGACGTGCCACGCCGGTGAACATTCAAGCACGAAAGTCGAATCACACCGACGACATGGGGGCTCGCAAGGCCTTTTCAGCAGCAGCGAAAGCGAGCTCGCCTTGCTCTTTGCGAACAGAGGCAGGAGCGGCATCATGGATCTTTTTATTTGCAGCAAGGGAGCGCAACCGAATCCACGCCCTCGCCTTAGCAGTGCGAGAAGGGCACTGTCCCTTGACCGAACGATGCTTCCGAGCAATCTCTGCAGAGGAGCACGGCGCTCGGCATTTGCGGCACACCCAAGCCGGGCATATGCGCAAGGGATACTTATCAACAGTATTGGTGTCCTTCCCGGCCTGGCGCGGCCACCCGAAGGCATCAAAATCCTGAGCCTCAAGCTCGCGCAGCACCGGCAGGAGCTTAGCCTTCTGGGCATTGTTACGAGTGACACTGATCTTTGAGGCCCATTTGGTAGCCGAGTGTGATTTCGCTTCCTTGTTCCACACAGCCCAAGAGACGCGCGGGTGGGCCTTTGTTTTATGCTCCCGGCGAAATCGCCACAGGGAGTCCTTGCCAAAGCGGGCCGCATCAGCAGTCGAGATGCCTGCCTGGCACCGTTTGCATCTCCAGTGCGCCTCCTCGCCATCAGCGAGGTTACGAACACAGGAAGCCTTGCATGCAGGAGCGAGTCCAAGCTTCTCCCCCGGATGCGAATCCAAGAAATGCCGCTGATAGGCCGCATAAGCCTTCACAGGATCAGCACACTTGCGGCGGAAGGGACAAAGCCTGCATTTAGCAACTCCATCAGGGAAAGCTCGGCCGCGGTTTCGACGGGCCATAACGAGGGCAGACTGAGGCAGGGCCCGGTTGGCATGATGCAAACGCTCAGGGCGCGGGGCATCATCATCGTCCCACTCCGGCAAGGCAGGCATTTGAGAATGCACGGAAGCGTCTGAAGAGACGGCTCGGGACCATACCGTCACGGCAGCACCGCGAGCGCGCTTGAGACAACTTGGACCGGACCGATGGCCAGCAATGCAATCATCCCTTTGCGAAATCGGAACTGAAGCATCACGCCGGGATTGTGAAACGGCCTTTTTGCTCGATGTGTTGACAGCAGTCCACACAGTACCCGCCTTCACAGAGGAGGTTCGACTGGCCTTGGACCGGTTGGATCGGGCGCTACCTGTCCAAACCGTACCCGAGCACTGGGAGGCATCATCACCTCCGGCACGCAGGTCCACGACAGCACCGCTCGTAACAGCGAAAATCTCCTCGGGGTACTCTCGAGAGTCCTTAGCAGGCAAAAGAAGCTCAATATGTTTAGGCGTATACCACAACACCAGTGTCCTCTTGCGCTGCTGCGCATGAAAAGTCATCGCACTAAAATTGCCATCACGAGGGATGACCAGTATGCGACAGTCAAACAAGCGGCCGAGGGCTTTTATTTCGATGGTAGAGGCGTATGCAGACTCAGAAGCGAGTAACTTGAGGTATTCCTCAAAGCCCGCCTCCGGTGATTCAGCTTTTTCACGCAATTTTTGTAACTCCGGCCCATGGCCGTCCCACTCACCAATATACTGCGAAGCGTGCTTACGTAAATGCTCTACGCAACGCGCCCTCAGGTCTCTGTGGGAATGCTCGGCCTTCTTAGGGCCCGAAAGCCAGTTGAGACCACGCGCAATCGCATGAAAGAGACATGCTCCGTCTTTCGGAGTCTCAATGAGATCACACCCCGAGGGGATTTGACGATGCGAAGCAGCAACATGCTTGGCAGGGGACACCTCCTTACCTTCAGCATCGAGCTCGGCGGGAACCTGAAGTCGAACGGGCTGGGGCTCCAGCGCAGGCTTCTCCTTGGCAAGGCAGGGAGTCGGCGCACAGCGCAAAGGTCGCTGCTTAGCATGCTTAGGCTTGTAAGGCGCAACCGTAGCCCACAGCGTGATTTCATTGTCCTTTCCCGGCTCGCTCTCGACGATGGCACTCAAAGGAACCAAGTCATGATCGCCGTGCTTAAGCGTGGCTCTGAAGCGATACAAGTACTCAGCACCCGTGCGCTTATGCTGAATCAACGCCACATCCTTGAAGGATTGGTCCAACACCTGCAGCACTTCCTTCTGTCCCCAGCTGGCCGGCACATGAGGAAAATTCCAGACACGCGGGACAGCCTGGGAAGGATCTCTAGGCGATCTGGCACCAATGCGTCCGCCCTGGGTGGCGAGACCGTAAGGAGCACTCATGCGGAGGCCGCGTTCAAGATACGCAATCGGAGCTTCGCCCTTGGTAGCAGCAAGCCACTGCACAGTGGAGACAAGCTTGCCGCGCGGCACATCAACAAAAACTCCATCCCGGCCACTGACAGCAACGAGAGAAGACAACTCGGTGTCCAGGAGGCGAGCAATGCCAAACAGTTGCAGGCCTTGCTTACCAGCCTGCTGCTCCTCGATCCAACCCCACGTGTCACTCAAAGTGATTTGGTGAGAACTAGCCCAAGAAGAAGCAGCACGACTCGGGTTGTTCTTCCAATGCTTGAATTTATCAGGCAACATGTACATCTCAGGCACCTTAAAGTAGACAACCGAAGTGGACGCAGGAACAACTTTAATGGCCTTGGCCTTGTGCCCCGCAAAGCAAGGGACACCACCATCAGCAGGGTCAGATTTGCAATGTGCAATCGAGGCTCGTCGGAACCGCAGGAGATCACCCACACTTCCCGGGACCTTGTGAGGACCATTCGCGTCCAAGGTTACAAGGGTGATTTTATGAGATTTGCTGGTGCCAGCAAGCATGGTCCGAATTCTCGGCAGCGCCGAGGGCTCGACAAGAATGACAGCTTCCAGAGTAGAACCCGGTTTAAGGTCGTCCAATGCTTTGGCAATTCCATCCTGCGACAAAAGCTGCGCGCTCCAATCCTGCGATCGGAGCTGGAAGGGGCCCTGCGGGGGAGCACGCTGAACCTTGGTCCAGCCCTCAGCATCACGAGGAGGCCGGTCTCCCTGCCCTTTACCCTTTGATCCAGACTTGGGTGGGGACACCTCTGCACTACCTTTAGCAGCACCCTTGGCCGATCCCTTTGCAGCAACAGGCTGACCACCTCTGCCACCAGATGCTTTGCCCTCGCCCGGCTCACGATAAGTGGGATGGCGACTCGAATCGTGGTTTTTTCGCTTGTTGCTGGGGGTAAGGTCAGGCTTGTGGCGTTTGGGCCCCCGCTCCAGGTTCGGCTCCTGCAGCACAACACGGGGAGGGGTTGCCGGGGCACCTCCCATTGCATTTGCAATGGCTTCCTGCACAGCTTTCTGAATGAGCGCAGTGATCATGGGCATAAGCTGTTCCGTGATGCTGGCCATCATGCCCTCAAACGGGTTGCCGCCTCCAAACCGCAGGCCGGTGGGACCCGAACAGCCCTCAGGCAGGCAGGAGCGCGAGGCAGCAGCAGAGTCCTGGTCCTGAGTCATTAGAGTGCTTGCACGGGCAGAGGCAATCACGTCGTGGCATCCTCGGAGGAAAAGGTGCACTCGCAGATTGTGCCTTGCGGTCGGCCAGCGGGCCGCAGTCCACAAACGCAGTCATGCATCAAGCCATCGGAGCATACCTCGCACGCACATGTTGGAAGCAGGCTGCTGGGGGCCAAATGGGATATACTCGGACCTTTCGGCCTACCTTGACCCACTGACCCCTGCAACTGCACACAGACAGGCGGGTTTCTAGGATCATACATGTCAGCAGGGCACACGTCACACAGGCAGGAAGGCAGCAAACTACCAGGAGCCACGCGGGATATACTCGGACCTTTCGGCCTGTCTTGACCCAGTGGCCCCTGCAACTGCGCATCGTCAAGATCACTCTGAGTTTTCAACGGTCCTGCTAGGCGCGTCGCAGGCACCTGGGCGCAGGCGCCACCAGAAAGACTCCCCACAGCCCGCATGAAACAAGCTTGGCTAGTGCAATACGGACTGTGGCCCATGGTAGCATGAGATGCATCAAGAGAGACCTGATCCGAACCCTGCAAGTCAGCAACCTGTGGAACCTGACACATGCAAGAGGAGACTGCTTCGAGCCTATCGCCGTCCAGGCCACACACTTCAGAAGTAGCAGGCTCACTCTGAGGCAAGACCGCACATGTTGGCACAGCATCTCTCCCTGTCGAAGGCTTGCAAGTGCACTCGGGTACTCCTAAAGGCACAGGAGGGGGCCTAAACCGAAAGGGAGAAGGGAAACCCAGTTGCAGGCATTCGCCACCGCAGTCAGCACGGTCCTTGTACTGCTCGACGAAACCACAGTCCCCTCGATACACCGATGTATTGCACGCCGACGGCAGTCTGTATTGGTGAGGCCCCCGAAGCCCTGGGTCAGCGACCCCACCTCCTCCTGCCAAAAACTCAAAACCCGGATTGCACCCACCGCCTGGGCTCCGGGGGCACGCTCTATTTGGCATCACAAGATCATCCCGACCAGTTGTTGCAGCGGCCTGGACATCAGGCACCCAAGAGGGCAAAGGCCTAAACCCTAGGGGAGAAAGGGAGCCTTGGTCAGTGCAGCAGTGGGGCAGCGCATCGCCCCCAACAGAGGACACGGGTACCCCTACGGGGGAGGACCTAAACCCAAGGGAGGCAAAGGAACCACGGCAAGGGCAACAGCCCCGGCAAAAAGTGTCATCGGCCACCGCACCATCGTCCTTGCCCTGCGCGATGTAGAACTGGCCGCCACCGTCGCCGGCCGCCAGCGAGCCCAGGCCATGGCAGCAGCACTGCGAGGAGGAAGAACAGGGGGGCTCCGAGGAGCCAGGTCTACCTTTAGCACAAGTAGCTGGCACCAGTAGCCCAGCAGCAGTCTCGATCTTTGCCCTTTCGCGGGTCTTGGTAGTGCAGAGCCCCCACAAGACTTTAAGAACACGGCCGTAAAGGCTCTTCTTGCTACAGTCAAGCTCGCACTCACCATCACAAGAAACACTAGATAGGCCACTCAGGCTCTTTGCCCTTTCGCGGGTCTTGTTGATTTCTTGACACTCACAATCATTCCTAGCTAGGCCTCTAAGGCTCTTTGCCCTTTCACGGGTCTTATTGATTTCTTGATTGTCACACACAGAGTTCTCAGCAGCGCAAGTCGACGTCCCACATGGCCCAGCCCCAAGGTCCAGACCAGGCGCTGCGGAGAGAAGCTGCTGCTGCGGCGCGTAGTAAAGAATTTCCTCCGAGAGAGTGTCCTCAATCAAGTGGAGCCCAAATGCTGCACTTGCCTGCGGCACGTAGTAAAGAAACTCCTCAGAGAAGGTGTCCTCAATCATGTGAAGCCCAAATGTCGCACTTGCCTGCATGTCAGGAGCATACGCACAAGGCTCATTCGCCAAAGGTGGCCCCTGAGCAGGGCATTCATCCCCAGCAATCCCGTGATCCATCCCCGAGGACCAAGAGGTTGCAGCAGCAAGCAGGTTGCCGCCCACACACGTGCCATCGGAGCTCTCAATCTCCGAAGTCCCTGGTCGGAGCCCCCAGGTCCCAACAGCGCACCACACCATGGAAATTGGCACACCGCGGTGGGCCAAGAAATCCAAATCCTTCTGGAACAGCTGAAGCTGAAAATCGCGTGCTCGAACGATGAAAGCGCTCAGCATTTGCAGACGCTGAGCCACCCACGGTTGCGCATCTCGGACATTGCCAGACGCTTTGCCCCAGCTGCCGAAGCAGCTCTTTTCTTTCCCATTCACTTCTTTTCCCAACAAAGAAGCACCATCACTCAAAGCACGATTCATTCGCTTCAGAGAACGCCGAAAGTGTAGGTAGAACCCACAATCAAGGCCTCCAGAAGAAGGAGCCATGGCCCGAAGGCACGTGCGGGAAGTGTCAGCCCTGTACCTGGGGAAGTACAGGTTAACCAGCTCAAGACGCGAGGAGTCCCTTCCCACTTGAGCCCAAAACTCCAGAACCGTATATTGCACAAAAGTCTGGAAATCGGTATCCGGGCTCAATACGTAAAGTGCCCAAGAATATAATAAGTATTGGAGCTGGTTATAAAAATTGCTCCCGAATATATTTGGCGCACTGCTGACGTGGTCTTCTTTTGTCCGAGCACTCGAAAGGGGCTGATCGTGTAAAAGTTTGTGCACACGACGAGTAAGCACATGTCACGTGTGGATGCGATTCCACACAAGTGGCTTGCGGTAAAGAGATTCCGCTATGTGCTAAGCACCCGATTGCCCCCATAACAAGTGCTGCCACGGAATGTTCCTCGGGAACGCCTCTGCACGCGCAAGGCCCAAAGCCCTGGCCACCTCATCGCCCTTTCCCCTTGAGGGTCCGTCAGCGATGTTCGACTTCGACGGTACCCGAGTGTACCACGCGTAGGAGACCATGTTGTCTTCAAGTCGACACAGCTCGCGAAGCATGCGATCCATAATGCAAGATTTGCTCACGCCCTTCACAAGGGCCAGGCGTGCAGGTTCGTTGTCTATCCAATACACAACTCTCCTGCCCTCCAGCCGTTCTCTGAAGACAAGTTTTGCACAGAATATCGCACACAGCTCGACCTGGCAGATCAAGTGCTCGCTGGCCTCGTTCCGCCAAGCGTTGCGGAGCTCAGGCGGGAGCTCGCCTTGCAACACACGCGTGAAGCCGTCGGCCGAATCAATCATCACGGCCCCTATGCCTGCGAAATCGCCTTCGAGAGATCCATCCGTGAAGATGTGAACGACCTCCTTCCGATCAGACACCTTCACCTCCCTGGGTCGAGCACTGCTAAGAAACACCAAAGCCCGATCACAAAGCTTTGCGAACTCCTCGGGAGATGGAAAAGCTTCAGCATGGACTATCCTGTTCAAGTCAGCGCAGATGTGATTCAGCGACATGCCCACACAGGAGCCTGCAGCAAAACGCAAGAGTCCAAGCAGTACTTGGCCAAAGTGCTTTGTCATCGACCCCTCGGCTTTGACCTTGCCGAACAACTCCACAAGCCTCTCAATTCTTCCTGGTTTGTTGGAAATCGAGAGCTTCCCCAAGTGAAGATGTTCCACGGACATTTTGAGTCCCAGCACGTTGCAAGATTCATCGAAGGGCAAACCTTTGGATCCGGTCCCTGTCTCGGCATATCGGATGCCAAGTAGTGTCAGCATGCGGCCGCACGCCTCATCAGTTGCTTGTGCCATGTCAGTGCGGGCCAACATCGGGTAGTCATCATAGAAGTACGAGCACACCACGTTCAAGACTCTGGTGAACAAGAAGTGTATGGCACGACTTATACGGTTAAAGCTAAAAACGCTGGCAGCGGCACCAAACATTAAGGCGTTCGCCACATACCAGGTTGGCTTTCCTTTTTCATCGAAAATGACTATAACCGAAAGGCACCTATCCCGCTCACTTACACAAAATTGTTTGTAAGCCTTTGACAAGTCCAGGCATTTGACCTTCCAAGGGACACACACGCCCAAGTCCTTTTGCATCCTTGCAACAGCCAGGGCCATGGCCGTGAAGTACGCACTATCCTGGAGCCTCAAGCGGATGGCCGTCCCATAAGCGTCGTTGAGGTGGGCCTCGTGGCCGTCATCAATGGGACGGTTCTTGTCGGACTGTTGAATGAGGAACCTCCTCACAGCCACCCAATCCTGGGTCCCGAGGTGGCTGGACACCGCTTCCTCAGACTCGAACGGTCCCGAGAGGAAACCTTCGGCCGTCTCTTCGTCGGTGACCCTCCGCAGTTCGGCCGCCTCGTCTCCAGAGACTCTCCGGGGATTCGCAAGGATGGCTTTCCTCAAATCCGGGGCAGCAGCCCTCAGGGCCTCGGGAGAGAGCTTTGCCAACCTAACGCGGGTCTCAAAACAATCGGGCTTCGGCGCAGACCCCACCAGATGTGAGCCGTCACTCACGAGGTCCACGACCCCCATGTCATCAAAGCCGTGCTGCGACAACAGATCGCGCAGCAACAGAATGCGTTTTCCCCGAAGGACTTTTTGCATCCAAGGTGGCTTTGACTGATGCAGTGCCCTCTCCTGAGATTCAAGTTGCTTGGCTCGGATCTCCATTTTAGTCAGGGCAATCTTTTGCTTCAGCTTAAGCACTTTAGCCTCCGAAGTAAGATTTTCCTTGATGGCCATCAGGGTGGCTTCACGCAAAGGGTTGCTCGAGTCCAAAGGGTGCGGAAGCTTAAGGGCCTCTTTTACCCACACTTCGGGACTACGATAGACCCCAACTGTAACCAGCCCTGACCCCGCACCAGGCTCGTTTCCTGCATGCCGCAGGGGCTGACACGAGGGGTTGGGGACTAAACCCGAAGGGGCAGGCGAGGGAGTCGGGTTATTAGTCGAGGGCTCGGAGTTCTCGAAGTCGCCCGAAGGCAATTGATCGGAGGGTTTCGCAAGGTCCCCCGTTTTCACCCCAATCATCGGGGCCGTGAGAACCCTCATGCACGAATCATCGACGGCCGACTTGGGTACATGTCGGATCGCAGCAAACTCGGACAGGAGAGGCGGGCTCTTGCGATGCTGCAAACCGTGGGCCGCGTAGGCAGCATGATGAACGTCCAGCGGGCGGGGGCAAAGAGAGAGGCCAGAGGCCTCAGCATGGGTGGCAAAGCGAGCAGCCATGGCTTCAGCAAGCTGGACGGGATACGCAGCCTCGAGGTGCGTGGCAAAGACCCACCCATGGGGCCCCCGCTGAGCGCCCCAAGGGGCGTGATCATGAGAGCGGTCGCAACGGGCACGCAAGTCGGCCATTTGCTTGCAATTGGTAAGCAATCGCGTGGTTTTCGGCCGGGCACCACCGTACATGCAATGATCAAACTCCACCTGAAAGGTTCTGTGGCTAAAGCGATGCCAGGAGGCCTGAGGACGGGCGCGAGCCAGCGCCGCAAAAGCCGCCCAGAAGTGGCTGTCAGCGGGATTCTCCAGCGTGAAAGGCACACAATTCTCAAGAGCCCAGCAGACCAAGTTGAAAGTGAAGAGGTACAGAAGGTTTGCTTGCTCCACACGGCGGTACTGGGAGGACGCTTTGTCAAGGCCTGGAAGTCCCAAGGGGTGGCGCGCGGAGCGCAAGGGTTTGGGCTCACGAACGCCTTGTTTAAGCAGCACGGCTGGAAGGGGGCGCTCACGGGCGCGGCTGGAGGTACCACAAGGCGGAGCTATATGAATAGCATCAGGGGGGGTGACCCGGAGGCGGTCCATAAGCAGATCTTGTTGGGCCTTGTCAGTAAGGTCCAAACGCACCGTCGGCATGAGAGCTGCACGCGGCCGGTGATCAACGGCGAGAGTGGCAAAGCCAGCCGCGAAGAGGGCCCGAGACAAAACGGCCGTGCCGCTGAAGACCTCGGCTGCAAAGGGTTGCCGGGTCGGCCCGCCGGCTGAACGGTGGCACGCGTTGAAGCCCAAGCGTGCTGCAAATAAGGCATCTGAGGCCGTCAACTTGTCAGTGAAGTTCGTTGTGTAGGCAACTAACACAACTCGGCGGCCTACCCAAGGCAAAGTTGCATGCAAAACGCACCGGGCCGAAAAGACGGCCGGGCCAGGGAGCGTTGGCAAAGCATCACCAAGCAACGTCTGGCCATTGACCTCCATAGGCGTGTGGCCCTGAGCATTCTGGACCCAGACTTCACCTCCTGAGTAATCGGAGAGCCCGAAAACAGCATTGCGAGCCGACTCCAAGTTGTGAGTGTCACGGTGCGCAACAGTGCAAACGCTGTCAAGGACAACTATGGCAGAAAAGGAGTGGCTGGGGCACTCCTGCAACACAAAACGATTGAAAACTTTAGTGCTCAAAGGGAAAACTCGGCAGTTGTTTCGCAATCCCACAAGGTTCCCATGCACCCAGGTGCCGGTGCCGAAAGAAAAACCTCCAGCTTCTGCACGCCCGGCAGTAGGCGCATCCTCGTGAGGGAGAAGGTCAAAAAGCTTCAGCAAGTCTACACGGCTAGCCGAAGGTAGTTCCAAAAGCGAGGTTGCAAACATTTCGGCAGGGTGCAAAGGAGGGCCCCTAGGCTCTGCAAGCACATTCGCCTGGCACTGCGACGACTGGGATTCCACAGGGTGCGTCGCGGTCCCTGCGGGTTTTCACTGATTGGCGCGAGCCTTTGTGCATTCGTGCCCCGGATGGGCACCTCCACAGCCTTTCCACCAGCACAGGTGAAAGCCTCGCCCGCACCTACCTTTCTTGGACACCTTGAACTTGCAGGATCCGCAGTTGAAAGCGAAGCACACAGGTTTGTCATTCACCTTAGTGACCGGAACCCGAAGCGGCACGATCCTTGCCTTTCTTGCCTTTGCCTTTGCCTCGGCCTTTGGGGGTGTCACCTTTCTCGGAGCGCTTCAGAGGATTAGACGGCGAACTCTGGGCAGGCAGGTGATTGAGAAACTGCAAGACATCACTGTGGTCGCTCAGGAGCTTAAGCTGTTCATCAAGCGGCTTGACGCGGCCAGGGGCGGCGGCAAGGGCTCCCAGCAGGTTGGAAGCGGCCAAAGTGAACAAGTGACGATCGGCTGCCACGATCTGAGTCAGCGCAACTCCGTGGTAGCCAGGAGGGGAAGGCCTCTCAAGCGTCACGAAGAGCTTATGCACCCAAGCCTCCATAGCCTGATATGTCGCAAGGCCAGAAAGGTCGAAGGCAAGGCTCCTTCGCGCCCAAGCCTGGCGAAGGGTCCACTCGGACCCCGTGTCACAATGTTCGAACTTGTCAAGCTTTGAAGTGACCTTAAGGTTGCCATCCGAATCAATCGACAAAGCCTTGTCTGCTTTGGCTGACTGAATTTCCTGAGCCCTTGAGAGATACTTACCGGGAGGAAGGTATACAAGCGTTCCGGTTTCGAGCATCTCCACAAGTCGATCTACCACGCCATGGGATGGTGTGGTTTCCGGCGAAAAGTGGATCCCGCTAAGCCGGGATTCTTGCGCCTTTTGCCTGGCAAGGCGCTCGGCTACTGGCATCTTCCTCGTGACGAAATCGTTCGAGGGCTCCACACGGTTCTTCATATCACTGATTGAGAGGGCCTGGGCCTCGAAGAGCAAGCGTCGCAGGCAGGAAACCTGGTGATGCTCGGGTGCCGGTGTGAAGACTGCACGGATCCATTCTTTGACCTCTTCCTCACTGACGCTGTTGGGTGAGGCTGAAACTGCGAAAGCCAAGGCGCCAAATGTGCTGTACCCCTGCGCTTCCAAAGTGGCGTGGTTTGCAGCAGAGAGTCCCACCTTCAAGGCACGTTCTTTAAAGGCAGCTTCCGAGTCCAGCGTCACTCCGGCCATGCTCGCACCCTCTATCGCTAAGTGACTTGAGTCAAGCGCCTCACACAAACAACAGTCGAAATCTGCAGGCTGCCACTCCGTAGGACGACACACCATGTTTTGCCTAGGCTGCATGCAGGCAAAGGTGTCGAGGATGGGCCGAGGCCCAGATCTCCCCTGGTTGTCGAAAGCTCGCCTCAAACCGGCTCCCGGTCGCGCGCCCTCCGGCACTGAATGCAGCAATCTGGATCTGCTGCTGCCGCGCCGGCCCTTCCGAATTTCATGTAAGCTGCGGTCAAGAAACGACCACAAAAGAAATCCGTGCTTCGAGGGTCCTTCAGGCAGTGCACAACGCCTGACACTCGGTGCACATAAACAAGTTCCAAGTCCACCGGCTGCTGAAATGGTGCTCTCGCCACGTCGGCTCGGTCTTCCCCCGAGAGTGCTTCCTCGCTCCCTTGGGAAGTCGAGCCACCCTCCTCCCCGCTAGCCTCTTCGAGGGGCCCGATTGCGGGAGGGATCGTGTTTGCCTTAGGCTCAGTTGGCCCTTTATGCGAGTTTTCAGCGGCTGCAGCAAGGACTCTATCAACTTCCGGCAAATCCGGATCATAGCGACCCTCACGAATGTCAATGAACATGGCGAGGATCTTGCCGTACAGGGCGGTGTACGCCTGCCTAGAGTAGATCAAGGGAGACTTGTCTTTGGGCTTGACGTGATGTCCCACCAACCTCTGGTCGCTTGAGGAGAAAGAGACCGTTGGGCACCGGGAGGTCCAAGTTGTAAGAGTCGCCTTCAGCGAGTGAGAGCCGCGCTTCAGCACTTCCTCCTCTTCGAAGCCAGCCCTCAAAAGGAAATCCTGCAACCACGAGGTAGCCTCTCCCGCCAACATCGGCAGGGAGGTCCATTTTCCGGAAGTTTCCGACCAACCCGGCAGGGTGAAGGCCTCGAGCTTCAATCCTTGGTTTTGGCGCGCCTCAAGCCAACGGTTTGCCCACGGCAGCTTGACACCCGACCCAATCGCAGCATAGGGCAGCAGCCGGGTTTTGGCCTCCTGAGTTTTCGATCTCTTCGAGGTGAGCCCTTCCGCAATCAGAAAGGTTTCGCCATGGGAGGTTTGCACGGCTATGGACTTCAGCCTTTGCGAATCCGTCCACCGCGCCCCCGAGTGGAGGCAGAATAAGTGTTGCCCCATGATACAAGCGTCGCGGTCGCCCTCCAGGTCGATAGCCGTCTCAAGTGCCACGACCATTTTAAGAGTGAGCTCGTCCCGTTGATTGAGTGGGGCCTTTGTCAAGTACAGGTCTGCCGCCAAGCCCTTGACCCTTGCACTGATGCAATCGTCGAGGGCGACGTGCCTCAAAACAGCCACCCCATGCAAAAAGCGAAGAGCTTCCAGGAAATGGGAGGCCGAAGTGGGGCCCCCCTGGCCGTTTTGGAAGACCTTCATGTAGTCGAAGAGGTGCTGTTCACTGAAAGAGAGCGGCGAGTGCAAGAAACCGTTCAGTGCCCACCTGAAAAACTTCATGAGTGCCGAAGTTCTCTTGCTGAGGGTGCTGGTGGCCTTCAAGCGGAAAGCCGCTACGAAAGAGCTTTTGATCTCGTCCTCCTCAGCTGCACGACCAACCAGGCCTGCGAGGCTCATCCCCAGCTGAGTGGCCTCGACATCGAAGAGGATCATAAATTTCAAGTTCTTTAGCGCATGTGATCTGGCCTCTTCTTCGGACCTCTGCACAGGCATCCGTTCCAAGTATTTTCGAACCATTGGGTTCAGCTTCAGCTTGAGCTCCGTCTCCAATGCCGGCTCGGGGTCCAGCGAGGCAGCAACCTCGGGGATGCCAATCAGCCTCCAAGGTCTCTTAACTTCCCAAGCGTAGCTCAATCTGCCTGGGAGCTCCCAGGCTTGTTTTGGCATTGTCTCGGCAGCCTGCTTCCTCTCAAGCTCCGCCGCGACCCTTTGCACATCCCTGTCGTCCATTGGCGACGACAGGAGTTTCGGAGCTTCGGATCCACGCTCGACAACCGACCATAAAGAAGCCTCAGCTTCATCACTTCCCAGCCGGCGCACATCGCCGTACCACGCCTCCTCGGCCGCCGATCCAAGATCACTCCAGCCACTCACACCAAGGAAGGTGTCTTCGTCGGCAGCAGGTGGATCAAGCGGGTCTCTAGCGACACTGCCAGCCTGTGACAGTAAGTCCTCAAGATGTTGTTGAAACTCGAGATCGCCCTGCTCGACCTCTCCCTGAGACTTGTCAGGCGAAGCTTGATCGGCCTCAACGGGGCGAACGCCTTCATCAGGGTTAGCCTGCAAGGATTCATGTGCCGGAGAACCCCCTAGTTCACAGGAATCAGCGGCAGGAGAAGCCATCGCGAAAGCAGAACCTGAGTCAACGGCTTGAAACAAAAAGTCGCAGGCACAGGCACAGCCTTCCTTGGCAAGAAAATGCAGCCAAGCTCGACAGGCAACATGTCAGTTGGATTAGCTTAGCAAGCCGCGAGTTTTCAAGCTGGATGGCCCCACGAGCTCAAAATCGCGCTGTCCTCTAAGAAAGATTGCAGTTGTGACAGGTGCAGCTCGGCGCAGGCTTCGGTTGAGGGTCCGCCGGAAGGCAGGGGCATCGGCTGAGGCAGGTTAGGGATTAGGGTCAGCGCCGCGAAGGGCAAGCACCGCAGCCTCAAGAGAAGCAATGCGAGAAGCCTGCTGCTCGAGCCCTTGAGTCAAACCCTGGATTGCATTGCTGAACAAGAAAGAAGCACTGGTGTAGGAAGGGTCCTCACCCAGGCGGCGGACCGCACCTTCATCCTCCAAGAGCAAATGCTGCAAGCGGCCCTCAGCAGAAGAGACACGATAATGCAGAAGCCTGAACTCAGAAGCTGGAACCTGCTGTTCAAGTGCACTGGCAGCCTCACGAAGAACCTGAGCAAGAAGAGAGCCCCCTGAAGGAGCACGCCGTGGCGGGCTCCTGGATCTGGAACGAGAGCGTTCCCTTTCACGCTGAAAATCGGGGGCCGGCGCACCTGATTCTGAGAAGGCCTGCAGCCACGGGGCAGGGCCAGCAACAGGCTGCTGAAGCTCACGAGAAGCACGCAAGCTCTCTTGCAAATTCTCCAAGAATGCCCGTTGGGACTCAGTGCAAGCGTCACTCATTGTAGGAACGAGAAAAGCAAGCCTTGAAAGAATCCCAAAAGGAGGCACTCTGCGGCTCGCGCACTTGCTGGAGCTCGGCAAGCTGAGATTCCACCTCGCGAATACGGCGCTCACAGGCTGTCACGTGGGCAGTAAGGGTGCGCAGCTGCAGATCCAGCTGATGCACGTGCCGACTAACAAGGCTCACTGTGGATGGGGAGCGACAGAGGAAGCAAGATCAACGTTCCAGAGCTCCTGTTGGCGCATGCAGCGGGCCTAGGACACACCGGCCAGCACACAGACTTTTCCCCGAGGGTACTAAGACTGCGCACCGGCTCCCCCGCTACAAAAATTTTTCCCCAGTGACAAAATGCCACTTGATCTGTAAAAACCGCCGGTGCATTGAAAGATTCAGAACTTCGACATGCGTGAGAAGCACTGCATGAAGCCGTTGTAAAGAGGGAAAAGCTTTGTGTGAAAAAATCATGCTTTCACACAAAATTAAAAGTTTGAAACGATGCAATCAGTCGGTTCTCGGTTGTCGCCATTTTGAGGGTTAAAGATTACCCCCAAATAAAACAACCTTGTAGTTTAAGTGGAAAGAGTTATCCGCAAGCGGAAACGTGCCTTCAGCTTGGTTTCCTCTGGTTCCAATTCTTTGGCTCGTCTGGCCCACTTCTCGATGTAGTTCTTCCTCTGAGAACGAACCATTCCCGGTTTATGTACTAGGTCGTGAACGAGGTCTCTGAGATCCTTGTTGCACTTGGATAACTTATGGTATGGGTGTCCAGTCTTACCTGCTTTGGCGATAAATTCAATGGGATCCCATGGGATGCCCACTCGCAAAACTGAGGCTCCATTCAAGTTTTGCATTTCCTGCTGAAGTTGCGGGCTCAATTGCCCCCCTGACTGAGTACGCGACAGAAGCTGGGAATCCTGCGGGAGCGCCCTAAGCTCCGGCAGCACACGGGCGCCGTGCGGAACCTTCCAGTCCTGTTTAAGGCGCTTCGACCCACCAAACGGATCCTCGACCTGCGGTGGCAGAAGGACATAGACCACCAACTTCCACTCAGACACCACTTCCGGCATCGCCCCACGTGGCTGATTCATAACCGAAACTCGCAGCGATTTGTTAGTCAAGGCCGGGCTACGACACGGCAGCTGTCGCTGAGTCAAACCTGCGATGAAAACCTCAGCTACCGCCGTGGCAAAAGCCGGCGGATAGCCTGTCTGCGCCTCCGAGCGCTGCTGCACCTTATGTCCCACAGGTGCCGCCTCCCTGCGCACAGTGAGGACTTCTGGCATATTAGACAACACGAGGCTGCGCTGTTTGCTATGTGAGTCCCAAAACCGCCAATCCACCTCCACCTGATGCGGAGGGTGCTGTGCTGACGGTAAGCGATTCAAACTCTCCCAAAATGGGGAGGACACCGAACCCTCAAGAATCAGGGGCAGGTTGTTGCTTAAGCAGCCCGCCATCACGGCCAGAATGAAAGCTGTAGTGACAGGTTCCGAGGCATGTTTAGGAATACATATCATAACACCCGCAATCTTGCCTTTGTCAAGCCATGTTAGGACAGAGTCACAAGTCTCCCTCGTCGACAAGTCCATCTGAAGCACTGGGGCCATAGCCGCCTTCTGCTTGAATCGGTCCACTCCATAGGAAAAATAGCCCTGCTTAATCAAAGCTGAAGCCACACGAGCTTGGCCTGCAAAACACTGCAAAATGTCCCTGATTGGCTCCTGACTCTGAGGGGCTGGAGAATTGTCCTGCGATGCCACGAGAGGTGAGGGGAGCGCCCCCTCGCTCCCTGCGTGCTCCAAGGAAAACGACTCAGACGAAGCACTCGGCATCGTAGGGGGATCCAAAACTGTAGGTTCTACCAAAATCGGAGAATCGTCGACATCCACCATCTTAGAAGCAGGGTCCACTCCCACTCCAAAAGGTAGCGAATCCGGGGCCGCGACATCAGCTACAGAGATACCACCTGAAACGGGTTCTTCCGAAGATGCCATCTCCACGTCCGACGCCAAAGCGACGGGGCAAGGCGGGGGATCCGCTAGTCACAGCTTCTTGGGCTTCAAAGGACACTTACCCACCGGGTGGTCACCGCCGCATTTGAAGATGCAGCAAGTATGATCGCCCTTCTGGCAGTTTGCATCCGAACAAGTTCCGAGGTTGAAGCCGTAACAGACCTTGTTGCCTTTATGATTCCATGCAGAGGCTCCCTGGAAGCGAAGTCCCTCAGGTAACCATTCCGGCTTGCCGGCCCCCGAGCCTTTGCCCTTAGGCGACTTGCCCTTAGCTTGCCAGGTGTTCTTGCCTTTCCCTGTCCAATTATCAGAGCCTTTGGAGTTCCAACCGCCCTTACCTTTGCCATTCTTCCCCTTCCAGGGCGCAGCATCGCCGTAAGGACCCGGGCGCCCGCCACGGCCGTTAGCATTCTTGCCCTTACCATCCAAATCACCCATAGGCAGAAGAGCTACAATGAGGTCATAATCGTGAAGAATAGCCCCGATCGCGGCATCGAGCGGGAGAATGCCAGAAGCATCTGCCCGGATATCCTCACCTGCCTCCGACAACTTGGAAAAGGCAAGCTTGTCAGCCCGCAAGATCTGACGAAGAGACACCTTCCTGTAACCAGGCTGAGCAGGCTGGTCAAATACCTGAACAAGGACGAAACATAAGCTTCATGTCTTTCCCAACTGATCAAGCGAGCAAATGCGTAAGCCACTCCTCTGCGGCGCAGGGCATTAAGGACCTGCAAAGAGCCCTCAATGTCACGATCATCCATACCAGCAGCCTCCGTGACCTTCAGCTTACCGCCTTCCAAGGAAAGACTGGTGGTCAAAGGCTTAATGTTCTGAACCTCATCCTCGCGGCTATGACACTTCTCTGGCCCAATGTACTTCAGGCAGCGACTCTCCCACTGCTGAACGGCCAAAGCTGTCCAGTGAGCGAAACTCCGGCGAGCTGAGTCCGAAGCTGATCCATGCGAGCATTCCGCTCGGCTACCCCCACCTTTTTAGGGGAAGCGTGTTCAGCAGGTTCTGCCAGATCCTTCAAAGAAGCCACTAGCATGGTCTGAGCTTCCAAGATCAGGCGCCTCAGAGACGCCTTCTCGCCCACCGTGATGCCTACCAACATGGCCTCGCTCCACGTGTCAAACTCAGTCTGAGATAGCACCTGTCCCGGTTGTCCGACACAAAAGGCCAGCTGGGCCAAAGTGGTGACCCCTTTACCTTTCAAGGCATCCACTACTCGCTTGGCAAGCGAGATTTCATCCGCTCGCTGCACAAAGAAAGGCGCCGAATCTACGGAACTCGTCATGGCTAAGTACCTGGCAACCGAAAAAGGCTAGCGAGGACGCAGCTCTCACAGCGCACACCGAGTACGATACTAGGACAGCTGTTGGCTTTTCGAGCAAGCTAAGAAATCAAACTGCGCTCCGTGGAAAACACTTGGCACATTGCGGGTGCGCTTGCGCCCGAGCCATAGGAATGCGCCGATAATCATCGCCAAAAGCTCGGCCACACAAAAACATTGCCGACCCCAAAGTCGTGCGATGCAGGACCTGGCTAGTCGGATGAGCCCAGAAAGATTGTTCCTCCGGGGCTTCTTCATCAGAGTCTGAAACATCAGAAACCACAGCCAAAGCCTCATCTTGGTCATCTTCCACCGCCGCCTGCAGGACTTCCGAGTCCTGTGGAAAAGCAGCCGCCTGCAGGATGGACTCCCGAGTCCAGCCTGATGAGAAGTGACCCGAACGAGTCTGGTCCGGCAGGAACTTACCCGTCGCCACTGCATCCAGTACGACAACGTACTCACGTAGTGCTGCGCTCTGCAACTCACGCCCATAAACTGCATCACTACCAGTCGCTGCATCCGCGTGATGGCCTAGAACTCGACGGTCTCGCGAAGCATCCCGAATTTGCTACACCAAACAAGTGAACCTGCTCCGTCGAGGGACGTGGCAGTAGATACCTCAGCCACCTGGTGATCTCGCTGCTAGACAACGGGTCTGAAGACCAAGACCCATCCGGCAGAGGTGCCGGCAAGAATGGGACATCAGCCTGATCGTTAGGCAAGCCAGCCTCAGCCCTAATGTCCAGGAGGAGCTGACCAAAAGGCGTTTTAGCAATACCCTGGCCGGGAATCACCAGAGGCAGTATGCGGCGTCGTTGAGTGTCCAGCCTAGACGTCTTGTGTTCAAGCGTCCCTAGTTCAATGAAGCCCGAACTCCAGTCTTCGTTGTGCACGTCTATCAAGATACTTTTGACACACCGGATGTCCGATGCTCGCGCCCTCGCGTAGAGCATAGCAAGGAAATGTGCCGCCCCGCATCTATCAATGACGGAAATATCGCGATCACAACAGATCGCGTGCAACTGGAGAACTTCGGACACCTTGAGGGGTGACGCCGGGCACCACGGGTTTTTAGTCTGTAGCGCCTTCTTCACCACACCATGAATTCGAGGACTGCTGAAGACCTCTAATTGAACACGTAGTCCCAAGGTATAATAACTCCACTTGATAGCACGCAGACTACTGTCCAGTGTGGTGGCCGCGGTCTTAGGCATCTTGAGGACACAATGAATGAAAGACCACAAGACTTTTTCCGCAAAAGGCGGAGTCTGACTTGCTTTCAAAAGCCACTCGCAAAAAGTACGAACCGGACCCACATGTTTCAAGATGGTGTTCGGTGATTTCCCTGCCAAAACTGCCTGAACAGAATCCGGGCCGTCCTCCTCGTCATCTGCCATCAAAGTACACAGGTCGAAGAAACTCGAAAAGGCATGAAGTAATGTGAGGACCCGGCGGTACGCCTCATCACGACGATCCGCGGCCCTAGGCCCTCTTTTTGCCGGGACAGCACGAGTCCAAGCCAGACAAAGAGATCCACTCGTCACAGGATTCGCGGAATCTGAAGGTTGTGCTGCCGTCTGAGGAACAGACGACGCCGGGACCACTCCCTGATAAGGCAAGTTCAAGCCCTGAGGGAAAGCCGCCTTCAATGGATCGAAGATGCACAGCATAGCCGGCTGTTCCCAAGGCTGCCGAGGCAGCGACGACCGAGCATGAGTAATGCTTCGCATGAACACTTCATTCTCACTCGCTCTAGGCTCTAGGGTCGTGGCCAGACATCGCAAGAAACCCTGGCAGGAACGACGCCCCACCAAATCGGTCAAAACTTGAACCGACAGTACGTGAACAACAAGTTACCAACAAGGAAATTACTTCCGCTGGAAATCTCCCCTCGCATCATACGCGAAAAGTAGCAGACACACTCGGGGCTGACTCCCGACGGGCTGCCACTCCCTCGTGGTTCATAAGGATAGTATCCACCACCCCTGGTGTGAGCAATGCCAGCAAAACCAAACTAGCAAGCTATAGATCTCCAAAAGATGACTCAGCACAACATCGGCAGTAGCTTACAATAACAACAATGCTCACATCTGCAGGGATAGCGCCGCTTAGCACGGCCACCCTACTGCGATTCCTCTCATAATCGCGTGTTTTGGGGAGATCAAAAAGTGATCCCCCGACCTGACCGATCCAGCGTCCCGGCAACAGATCTGCATCATGTCGTTCCCCCCCTCCACAGACGGGGTGCTCCGTGGCAACTCGCACTCTACGAGGACAATCGCACCACCCAGGGCTTTAGCCCGACTCGCGCATTTTGTCGCTGCACTTTCCAGTGCATCTCACGACAGTCCGACCAATGAACCTCGTGCCGAAAAGCCGAAGCAGGGAGTTCCCTGATCGCGATAATCGTTCACTGCGATCTCCCCTATCTCCGCCACGCCGACTAAAGATGGGAAAGAGGTACCATGAGCCATGATAGCCGAATGTGCCGAGTTCGGATTGCGGATATAGCTTGGCCCGCGCAATTCGCAGGATAAGATCAAAATCCGTTGCCCAGGCACTCGAAAAATGTGAGCATCGGGTCCGACGACGCCCGCCACAGGATTGTCCCCCTCGAGGGGGCGGCCGAAAGCCCGAAAGGCAGCAAGGACCGTGACCACTCGGGATATCACAGAGGTCGGTATCGGACCTTCAAGTCCGTCCAAGAATTCCTTGTAGGCATGCGTGTCAGGAAACTTCTCGGCGATGGTCTTCCAAGGCATCTTCCACCACCACTGCAGTTTCCCCTGCTCTGCCAGTTCCCGAGCTGACAATGGGCGAGTGGGGTCTGCGCGCGCTTCATCCTGCGCCGACTTCCACAGAGCTGCGAGGTACGACTCTTCGTCGTCTGCCTCGTCCTTATCAGCCTCCTTGGCAGCCCGACGGGCGTCGGCCGCGGCCACTTCAGATGGAGTGGCCTCCGCAATGTTGTGGTGGTCTGGATCCGTCCAAGAGGACTGATGGCCCGACCTTCGAGGCTCATTCGACCCCTGGCTGGACCGATGCCACTGGTTCCAGCGCTTGCTCCATTGGCCCTGCTTCTGCTGGCCCTCCGCGCCAGGGCTGGCGATTCCAAGTAGTCTGCTGCTGAGGCGCATGCACAGCAGGGGCAATCGGGGCAGGTGTCGAGGGAGGCGGCAAAGGTGGCTGCACCGCGCCACTGGTACTTGCCTCCATTCATATCCCGGCGCTGCAGCCGGCAGCTAGGCACCGGCGGGGGAAAAGGCGCAGCAGCTCGCGCTCCCTCCGATCTTGATTCCCGGTCGCGTCTGCGATCACGGTTCCGGCTCCTCGAGCGCTCAGAGCTACTCGAGGGAGAGCACCGACGGTGCCGACGCCTCTCACTCCCGAAAGGTGGCATCATCGGCCCCATCGGTCCCATTTGTCAAGGAAACATCCCTGCGTCACACACTCAGCACGTAGCTGAAGCCGGGCTCCAGCCCTCCTAGACTCTTTCAAGCGCTTCGGCGCCTTGCCAAACACCCAGCACCAGGCTCCTGCCTTGCTTGCTGCGCTGAATCTTTTTTTTTTGGGCCGATAGCAAACGGCAACCGAATAGCTCATGCAATGAATGCTTCTGCAAACTGTCAGTACGCAACCTCTGGCGCACACACACCAAACACGCGCTCTTGCGCCGGTTTTCTCTTCAAGACCGAGTCTCTGTCCCAACGCTCAGCCGTGAGGACCTAAGCATCACAGCAAAGAAGTGCAAAATCACTCAAACCAACAACTCGCTCCAGCGACAGAGCCCTTTCTGGCTCCACAGCACTGCAAGATATGTCTCCAAGCACAATAATCCTAAGGATGAAAAGGATACTGATACCGGCAGCGAGACCGGCAAAAATCAGAAAATCACTCCTCAACCAGGCGGTCTCCGATCCGCCCGAGCAGCACATTCGTGAAGATACGCAAAATGACAGCTGCATCGAAGCTGGGCTCTCACCAACATTTTGGCTGCTGCCCTAGGGTTGCCACGGCTGATCCTGGCCTGGTGCATAACCGCCGCCGTGTGAGCCTCCACCGTGTATGTGCCTGCAGATTGCAGGTCAATGTCGCGGGAAACCTCAGCAGAAGTAGTAGCAGCAGCAAAAGACGGAGTAAGCTCCCCAGATGAAGAAGCTCCTGAGATCGTCGGCCTCCGCGAATCCGACTCTCGCGAAACATCAGCCTTAGCCTCGATGGCTGAGCTATCCGAGCCCGATGCAGGGCTCTTCGGTCTCGCCTTGCTGTGCTTACGGGAAACCTTCTTTTTCTTCTTCATCTTCGTCTTCTTAACCTTATTTTCACTGGAAATGTTAAAAGCTCGAAACATACTCAGATATATGACGTATTTCGCAAACGATGAAATCTGGCTTGTTCCACTTCGAAATAAGTCCAATCATATAGAATATTCAAAAACTCAATCACTGTAACATGTACTGTGGATCTCACTCGCGCACTCCACTGTTTTCCTTTAAGGTCGCATGGGGCATTCGAAAGATGTCTCAGGAAACACTTCACGACTTCAGACTTGACTTCCAAGTGAATGCGGCACATCCCGCAACCCCCGGGTGGGTGGGTGGGAGTTTTGAAAATCACGTGCCCTACCTCAGAGCACGAACCTTGCGGCATCACATCGACTTGCTTCAAACAATCATGCGTGATGCTTTCAAGTGGCAAGGTAAAACCTAAATCGAGCAGGATTTTGAAGCGAAGCTACAAAATCCAAAAACCATTTCCGTGAAAATAATACCGTACGCAGGCCGGCTGCGAAGGTGGCTTATTTTCACTGGAAATGTTAAAAGCTCGAAACATACTCAGATATATGACGTATTTCGCAAACGATGAAATCTGGCTTGTTCCACTTCGAAATAAGTCCAATCATATAGAATATTCAAAAACTCAATCACTGTAACATGTACTGTGGGTCTCACTCGCGCACTCCACTGTTTTCCTTTAAGGTCGCATGGGGCATTCGAAAGATGTCTCAGGAAACACTTCACGACTTCAGACTTGACTTCCAAGTGAATGCGGCACATCCCGCAACCCCCTGAGCACCAGTGACCAAAGGGAGAGCACGAGCGAGTAAAGCAGCTGATAATTCGGTCCTGGGCACACCTGAGATCTGTTGTCCTCTGGACGGATTGTCCGCTGGGTTCGACAGCGATGGTACACGATCCAGCCAGCAAATCACTTCAAGATCCTCTTCACTGCAAGCGAAGAAGTCAATTAACGATGCGCAGACCGAATTGTCACTGTGTCCTCGAACAAAGCTTCCAAACACACCTTCGTTGTCAGTGAAAGCCACCACGCCTTTGCGCCCTACGAGCGGCCTGAAAACTTCCAAGGACATGGCCAGAGCAAGCGCCTCAAGTTCGAAGATTACGGTTTCCTTTTCACGCTCCCCATCCTTGAGCAGCCTGTCCACATGACACTGTTGCAGCTTGTATCCAAACCAACTCAAGGCGGTGCCAGATGAATTGAAAATCAATCCTCCTAACCCGCAGTAGCCACCGGGCTCGAAGGATGCATCCACGTAGATGTGCACATATTCATCCCTCCTAGCTCGCACTGGCCTTGGCCTCGAAGTTTCAAGAAACTGCTTAAGCTGAGTTAACCCAAGACGGGCAAGAGGGCTGAGCTCCCACTTGCGTTGTCGAGAGTGCTGTCCTAAGAGCTTAAGCGCTGCCTTTGGGCGACGGCCGAAAATCTGGGAGCTTGCAAACTGAAGCCGACCACGTAGCTTCTCACATTCGCTAGGGTCGAGCTGGCCCGAAGCAAGGGCGCGATCGATATCCTTTAAGGCCTCCGACCGTCGCTTGGTAGTGTTTTCAAGGAAGATGAGACCAAGCTTAGCGTCTCTAAGATTGATCTGGACCCCAAGGACCACACACATGGAACTGTAACTCAGTTCCTTGTCCCGGGATACTTCCCAGCCGATCAACTTGAAAAACATCGTGATCACGAAATCACAATGCTTAGCGAAGGCTGCCCCACAAACGTTCAAGTAGTCGTCGAAATACTCACTCCAAGCGAGCGTGAGGGCTACAGCCCCAAGCTTCCAAATCGCGTATGCTGCCCTGATGAAGCTGGTGACGCTGGCGGTTGATCCGAACGGAAGAACTCGCTGTTTGTAGACCTCACCTTCGCCCCGCTCGACATTGAACAAGATGAAGTAGCTTTATCCTTATAAGCCAATCCTTTCAAATGTAATCACGACAAAAGGGAAAACTTCACAAGTGAACTATTTCCTTTCAACAAAGAAATATAGACATGACTGATGAATAAATTCAATCCACATATGGGAAACATGCAGAGCACTCGCACACACGGCCGATTCGTTTTCCGACGGGGGATGGCACCAGTCGCATTCGAAACGGAACATGCCGTAAAGTAAAAGTGGATTTCCCGTGACGGCCCATGCACATCACAGGATGTTCCAGCACAGAGCTCATGACGGCCAATGCTCATCATAAGCGGTGCCACATACCCCCCCAGGGTGGGAGGGCGGGTCAAAATTTTTCACATGTGAGCTCCGCATCGGAGCCAAAACCTTCAGTGGAGCATTGGTCCATCAGACAACAAGTGTCTAAGCATTGAAAAGTAGTCGACACATTTAAAAGCGAATCCGACTACATTCAAAAATAAAGGACAGAATTCATGCGGCATGCCCAAATACATTTGTGCCCGGGAGCACCATGAGCAATTTCACAAAGGCGTGATCAAACGATTACAAAGAAAGGACGGTGAACATATCACCTGTTGGCAAAAGGATAAGAGGATATCACGAACGTGAGATTGTCTTTATCCTTATAAGCCAATCCTTTCAAATGTAATCACGACAAAAGGGAAAACTTCACAAGTGAACTATTTCCTTTCAACAAAGAAATATAGACATGACTGATGAATAAATTCAATCCACATATGGGAAACATGCAGAGCACTCGCACACACGGCCGATTTGTTTTCCGACGGGGGATGGCACCAGTCGCATTCGAAACGGAACATGCCGTAAAGTAAAAGTGGATTTCCCGTGACGGCCCATGCACATCACAGGATGTTCCAGCACAGAGCTCATGACGGCCAATGCTCATCATAAGCGGTGCCACATACCCCCCATCCGAAACACACCGCGCATGTCTGATCAAAAGGCTGCCAGAGTGGGCTGAATCCTTCGGAAGCATTCCTCATACTCCCCAAAGCTCAGTCTGGAGGCAGCGTCGGAAAAATTGCTCTTGGACGGCACCCTGCAATACCATGGAAAACAACTGAGCTCGACATCAAGCTCGGCAATGTCAGAAAGCATATGAGCGGCATCCAACAAAGGAGAATAATTTCTGATCAAGGCCGCCTTCGCTGCCTCGTTGTCCACGAAGATCAGTACCCTTCTGTTACGCAGCACTTTAGCCCAAGTCCGTCTCGCAATCAAGACAGGGTAAAGCTCTGCAAAGAAGATGAGCTGAGTCCGGCCTGAGCTCCGCCACTTTGTCACAAGATCCTCGGGGATGTGACCCCCAAACACCTCTCGAGTCTGCGAAGCCGGGTCAACGATGACCGCCCCATGTGTCACCTGATTGCCTTTCTCCTCACATGCACCATCCGTAAAGATGACAACTGGCGGCTGCTCAGACCACAGGTTCACCTGACGATCCCCAGCCGCCCTAAGTGTTCCAAGCGCCCTCTTGAGGGATTGCAAGACGAAACCACGCACGTCAGGACCAGGTTGTCGCTCGGCATGGTGAATCAACTGAGTCGCAACCTGAGCACAGCGACCGAACACATGCGAAGATGCAAACAAGAGCTTGCCCTTCAACGACGGGAGGGATCGCGCCCCACATGCGGGGTCAGCAGCAAAGCGATCTACCATGGAAGAAATTTCCTCCAAGCGACCGGCCTTATTCCTAACCCTAATCAGACCCCTACCCGCATCTTTGAAGGATAGCACTGCACCAAGCATGGTGAACTCTGAAGCGAAAGGTTTCAACTTCTCGCCATCGGACACCTCCCAGCCAAGGAGATCAAGCAGTGCAAGCGCCGCCTGATCCGCAGAATCAGTCAGACCATCAATCTCAAGTTGGCAAAAATCGTCAAAGAATGACGTATTCACAAGGAACAAAAGCCTGGACATGATAATGCGCAATGCACGCGCAGCCCGGTTGAAGCCTGTCACCGCGCTCGATGCGCCGAACGGGAGAGCGTGGCTCTCAAAATAGGCCACAGTGTTGGTGTCTGGATCTAAGACTCCTAGCACCGAAGCCCAATCGTCGGCGGGGTGCCGAGCTAGCTGTTTGTATGCACTCCGCAAGTCAAGAGCCCTGCCTTTCAAGCGCCGTGCCCGACCTTCCCTAAAGTCAGGATGCAAACGGCCCTGATAGACGCCGCCGCCTGACAAGGGGAGCCTGAAAACCTTGGTGCCCGACACAGTGGCACCCAAGTGGAATCTCGCAAGGGCAACAATGTCATCAAGGCCTTCGAGTTGAATCTTCTCGGTCTCAGTAACCGAAGCATTCACCTGAAACTGCGAGAGATCATCGACAGCACGCACCTTGTCGCCCTGGGACACCCCGAAGCGCTTGGACGCCACCCAAGTGCCCCCATACTTCTGATCCATTTGATCCCATGTGAATGGTCCCGACAACCATCCCTTCTCGACTTGCCCCAACGATTCTTCCCAAACAGCCCTCGCAATCTCAGGATCCTGTGAAGCCTTCCGACACGCAGCCTCGACAAGGTGTTTGGACCACTGCGAAGTGCGCCGCAATTCATCCACTGAGATGACGGCAGGCTTATACTTAGGGGGAAACAAACCCGAAGGCTCAAGGGGACCAGTCAACCGAAATCCCTGAACCATATCCTCGAAGAGGCGCTCATCAGGAACACCTGCATCCTTCAGCATCTGTTTGAACAAGAGCAGCTTCTTGTTGCCCATGATCTCCCGTACCGTAGGGTCCATTGCCTGCTTAAGAGCCTCCTCATCAGACCTCAGAGAGTGCTCCAGTGCACGATAGTGCTCAAGAACCTCCATACGTCTTTGCTGCACAGCCTTAACACCATGCTCAAGAGTGAATGCAATTGCCCGAAGGTTCGGGCCGTCAATAGACACTGCACTGTCGAAGGGATGGGTCACTTTCAAGGCCGCATTCAGAAACTCATCCGGTGTATGGTATACCCCAAATTGGGCCTCGCGAACCTCAACACCCCCATCAACAAAGACGCGAGTCCACAGAAGCTTGGAGCCCGCAGGCACGTCGCGAAGCACTGCAAGTGGCTCATCTGGCACATGGTCCGGGGGCTGAAAGTCACGAGGGAGCCGGACAAGGACAGTCCGTTTGTACTCAGGCGGACCCACAATGCCGCGGCCGCGGCGAGGCTGCCGCTGTGCAAAGGAAGATGCCAGGGCCGTGTCCGAAGATGCGCGCACATCAAGCATAATCCCTTTATTTTGCAATGCCAAGCAGATCTCACGGGCTGCTGCCGTACACAGGCCGGCTGGGTAAGCGGTTTCCTCGGCAGTGGCATAGTGCACACCACGCCCGTCCGGATCGCGCACACGACCCCGTTTCTTGTGTTCGTGTGATTTGTCACACTGCAACATGAGACCTGGAAGGCGGCATGTAGCCAGCAAGGCAGTGCGCTTCTTTCGAGCAGATCCATACATGCAAGAATGCAGCTCGTGCCACACGCCACGCGGGACAAGTGTCCTAAACCACGATGTTTGCCACATGAGGCTTGATGCCGGGTTCTCCACAATGCAAAGGATATCGTGTTCAAGACAGAACGTCCAAACCTTGGCGGCAAAGGCATACAAAAGATTTGCACTTTGTACTCGAGCATGATCCTCGGGACGCAAGGATGCCAACCCGTCTGGAAAAGCCGGGCTCCGTAAGGGTGCAGGTCCCTTAGCCGACCGTCCAAGAGGGATTTGCCGCGCAATCGAAGCAGTCCCACACGGGGGAGCAATCCACACGGCCTGAGCACGGCGCAACTCGACCCAAATGCGGTCCTGCTGCTCTGGGTCGCGCAAGTCCAAGCTGACGAAAGGTGCATTGGCATGCTTAGCGGTGGGTTTGTGATCAACTCCCAACACGCGGAACCCCAGCTTGCGCACCTCGGCCGAAAGGCCAGCAGAACCACAGAACAACTCGATGAAGGAAGGTTGCACAGTGGCCGTCACATCACGAGCCACGTTTGACCCACCGAGATCAGGATGATCCGCTGCGGCAGGCGCAGTCCCTGGGACGCTCGCCTGAGGAGGCAGGGTGACAGGTGAAGCTGCAAGCGCCGGGGTTGGCGCCGGTGGCGGAAAAGGGAAAACCCCAGGGCTAGGGAGAACCGAAGAGGCAGACTCGGGACCGTCAGGTGCCAAGGTTGGCAACTTAAACCCCAGGTTTGACAACTCAGTCAAGTCTGCACGACGCAAGTTTGCCCAGTTCCGTACACTAAATGCCACAAGAACCACGCGGGGCCCGCGAGACCACGGCATAACGCAGTGCGGCTGTTGGGCATCGAAGCTCAATGCACCATTGGCAAACTCGACAACGTTACCCATCCTTTGGCCCTGATGCGGAAGCGGGCACGGGACCTTGCCGCCCACCGTCTCGACCCAGAGGCCACCGTGGCTGAACTCAGAAACCTTCAGGATGGTATTCATCAGGCTGGGATCATTTCCGTGGTCTGAGTGGACCCGGGTCTCAAGATCACGAAACAAGGCCAGTGTAGTGTAGCAGGCGCCCGGCGCCATCGAACGCATAAACTCATTCAGAACCTTAGTGGACATCGGAAAGTCGCGGCAATGTTGGCGAAGGCCGTGCCGCTTGCCATGATCATAGGTGTAAGCACCTGTGGTGAAAGAAAATTCGGACCCACGGCCCACCTCACGCGAACCGCGCGACGGTGCCTCCGAGGGAAGCAGCTCCAAAAGACGACGAATGCCCCCCGCATCGACTTTGCCGATCAAGGTAGCAGCAAAAACTTCCGCATTCGTATCACGATCATTGCCAAAATGGCTGGTGGCCGTGTCATGCACATGTGTTGCATTGTGTACTTGGCCTGGGCTAGAGCGAACGGGCCCTAGTCACGACGACCTGTGGTGGGAGAAAACATGCGAGGCATCGAAGCATGCAGGGAAGCAGCACACATGCTCCCCTTTTGGGCAGGCCCCCGCAGCATTGGGACATTTCCCAAGGTTATGATCGAAGCAGATGTTACGCCCGGCCGCGTCCTTGGGGACCCCACCGATGAGCGCCTTTGGCATGACGAAGCGAGTCTTCCGTGGCTTGCCAGGTCGATCAGCCGCATTCGGCGATGCACCGGAATCAGCCTTCTGATTCTTATCGGCGCCCTGACCCCTATCCGTCGCCTTCGACGGATCCGTCTTTTTGGGCGGCTTGCGCGGTGGCTTGTCTGGCTTCTCATTAGCCTCACCAGCGCCCGAATTGCCCAAGGGACCGGACCCTTTTTGCCGAGGCATCAACATCCACTGGATGTGGGAGCCCGCCAGCACCCGAGACACCGGGATGTCAAGCGGCAAGGAGCCATCCGCCCCTGGCACAAGTCCAGCTCGGGTGAGCTCCCCCATGCGAACATGAACCTCCCTGTCCGCAGCCTGAAGTTGAGAGAAGGAGACGGGATGAAACCCAGCCATGGGCTCACGTTGGTACTCCATGAACAGTCGGTCAATCAATTCCTCGTGCCTCTCGAACGACATGATGGCAGCAAGTTCATATGCCACCCCTCTGCGACGCAAGGCCTGCATCACCTCAAGGTCAGACTTAGTATCAGCAGTGATTTTAGCACCGGGATCCACTAGCTTGACGGATCCTGAGCGGCCACCCTGAAGCAGCTTCAAGCTAGCGTCCTCCTTCACAAGATTTATCTCCTGGGCACGACTAGTACACTTCGACCACTCAATGTAGCGCACCCGCTGATCCTCAAGCATTTGGGCTGACAGGTTCACAAGCGCATGCGAAGGCTCCAAGCGGTCCACAAGCCGGAGAGGCTTAACGCGCTTTTGCAACACATCATAACGAGCAGCGAGCTCTGCCGTCGGGACCTTGCGCGGTTGATCTGACTCCGTGGACTCGGCCGTCCGCTTCAGCTCAGCTGCTGTCAAAGCATATGCCTCGAAGTGGAGCCGCCTAAGTTTCGCCTGATGCTCCTCACCCCCATCACCGAGGATTGGCTGGACAACGGAGGTTTTGAAGACATCATCGGGAATCCTTCCGGGCACCCCTGGCACGCAGAATGCAAAAGTGCCGAAAGTGGCCCAGCCCTTTCGTTTGAGCTTTCCCCGAGCATCCTCGGGCAGCCCCAGCTGAGTGCACTTTGACAAGAACACAGCCTCGCTATCGATGGCGGACATGTCTACACCAGCAAGACGCAACCTACGGAAAAATGTCACATGTGACACTAGACAAAAATTACAAAGCTATGCCGATATGTCAAGCAAAGCACCTACACAGGGACATGTTCACCGTGCATGGTCACCCGGATGCGCTCATGAGCGAAAAACTGCAAAACATGACAACATGCGACATGAAGTGTCAGCGTGAGCATCCTCAAGCAACATGCAGCACAGCCACATCGAACATGAGATGGGAATCTTCGTTCATTCAAAGCAGCCTCAATGACTACCCACGACAAACTGCAGAACGCGCCCCGGTTCAATTTTCCTCAAAGGCCCGAGTCACTTGCTCCCCAGCACGAAGAGCACTTCTGCAAGATTATTGCCGGAGTTTCATCGAGCTCCTCATAATTACGGTTTGCAAAACGTCCACATCTGAAGACTGTCATCTCGCCCTCATCAGGAGGCTGGCCATCCCGAGCCGCGTGGACAACTCCACTCATACGATGCCTAAAACACTTGACAAAACTTCGGGCCTCAGCAGAAACGTTCAGATCCTCACCCAAGAAAAATGCGGAAGCAACGGCCTCATCAGCCTCGCCCTCCGTTCCGATACTCTCAGCAGCGGACTCAGGATCTGACTGATCCCCAGGTTCGATTTCCGGCGCGTCCGCCGGCGGTGGGCGATCGTCTGGTGGGTCCGGCTGAACCCCAGACAGGAAACGGAGAGCCTCCTCAATGGAGCGAATGCCTCCTGTCCACCTTCCGGCCCTGGTCGAATCTGGGCGAAAATGCCACCCTTGATAGCAATGAACATGCCCTCAAGAAAATGCAACGATGGTGCCATCGAATCCCGAGAGTACTCAAGAGTGGAAGAATTCGCAGACCTGATATGATATCCCGCAATGGACCTGAGGTTCTCAGACGCAGCTGCCTTTGCCATGAAGCTCAGAAGCGTAGCCTTAAGGCTGTGCGTGGCAACCTCACCCCACGGAAAAGAATTCCCACAAGGCGCACACTCCTTTAGGATCTCCCTAAGCCATAGGGCCCCTAGCGGAAGGATCGAGGGGCAGCACGTCGAACCCCCCTTGGCACAATGGTCTCGGCATCATAGGGGTGCCACGGGAAGCAACAAGGTTAAGCCTTCGCCTGCGAGCTAGCCAAGCCTCAGCCCAGTTTCCCTCGGCCAAACCTGGAGTAACACAAGCGACTGGCAAAAGCCTATGCCGGGCAAGCGACCCACGATTGGCAGTCTTATGATGATACAACTGAGCATTCAAGAAACCCTTTCCTTCATGCAAGTCAAGCACCGGCTCAGCCTCGGTATGTTGGGCATCGCTCCAACGCAGCCGGCCGTGAAGACAGTACAAGGCGAAGCCAGCAAGCACTGCAGCTAAATCATTAGGTGAGCTGATCACGCACTCTTCCAGGCCACGGACCTGGGCCACTGTAAGCGGCCGCTTCTTGCGCACCACAACGGTCTGGGATTGAGGATTTGCGGCCCCCTGAACCCTAGCAGATAAAGCAACCTCGCTTACGTCTGCCCCGAGCAGTGCCCCGGAGAAGTTAACCGCTTCTCGAAACCTGGACGCCCTTGACCGGGGTGCCCCCTCGGTCCTAAGGAAGCACAAGTAAAGGTATGCATCAGACTCATCAAGAGGAAACACTGCAGGGTCAAGTCCGACCGATGCCCGCCACCTGGAAAACTGGGCCAGGCTGGATGCCCTCGACCTGAGGGTCGAAGTTGACTTTGCCGAGAACACATCACGGAGGCACTGATCGACCAAGGCGGCTGGAGAACCCTCGCTCTGCATCTTAACAAGATCCCGGCCTACCTTAGTCCCTCGTCCTGAAGTCAGTACAATGAGCTTCCACATCTCAAGCACCGAGGTCCTCTTATCGTCCTCGACATCCGCCCAGGCACGAGAATGCACGACCGAAGACTTCCAAGGTTCCTTAGACGCCCTAACTCGTTGAGCCGTTTCCCTCACCTGTGGCTGGTCCCCAACCTGCTCGGCCACCAATGGTACGAGTGGCGCAGAAAGGAAACGCCTTGCCCCCAACACAGCCGCTAGCGAACCTGACTCCCAAGGAAGCGGCATGTCGATAGCAGCCGCGCTCAAGACAGACATGGCATGCTGCACTGAAGGCTGATAGGGTGCCCTAGCAGACCTAATCCTAGCCCGAAACCAGTCCCCCATCCTAAAACCTACGGGCGGAGGAGTATCTGAGTCCCCTGCGCGATTCATGGCCGCATGGGCCTGTGAAGGATCCATGGCTCAGGGGAAACCCTGAGCAAGCAGCAATGCATGCGCCGGCGGAGAGTCCGAAACTTTGCACTGGAGACCCCGTCACGCGCGGGCTCCAAGGAACCTTCGCTGCCCATGCACGCACTGGCGGGCTAGACCCAACACCGAGTTTAGCACCTGAGGCCTGCTAGAATGTCAAGGGGACATGGAGGCCTCAAAATTTTTCACATGTGAGCTCCGCATCGGAGCCAAAACCTTCAGTGGAGCATTGGTCCATCAGACAACAAGTGTCTAAGCATTGAAAAGTAGTCGACACATATAAAAGCGAATCCGACTACATTCAAAAATAAAGGACAGAATTCATGCGGCATGCCCAAATACATTTGTGCCCGGGAGCACCATGAGCAATTTCACAAAGGCGTGATCAAACGATTACAAAGAAAGGACGGTGAACATATCACCTGTTGGCAAAAGGATAAGAGGATATCACGAACGTGAGATTGTCTATCAAGCTCGTACGAAGAGTCGGATAGCGGGAGTTGTTTATAAGCGGTACGCAGATCCCATGCCTTGCACACAGGTGCCGCATGCTCGGAGCGACCACTACGGAACCACTCATTTAACCAACACCCCAACATGCCAGCGACGATGTCAATCGTGTGGACACTTATCTGCTCAGTTTGCGAAACGGCAGAATTCACCTGCGACGACAGATAATTGTCGATAGGCCTAATCTTGGGCCCATCCTCGGATTCCCCTTGGCGCACACCAAACCTGTGCGTGAGCGATGCGTTGGAGGGAACGTCACTCAAAGCAACGGGTCCTTCCACGAACCCTCGCTCAAGTTCTTTCTGAGTGGCCTTCAGGACCCCTTGGTCAATCACGGGATCGTCGGAGGCCTTGACAGTAGCCACCAAGCCGTCTCGCAACCGTTTGGCCCCAGACCTCAGTTGGTCCTCGGACTGCTCCGCTGGTTTGAACCTCCGGGTGAAGACATTGGACAAGGGCAGCTTACCAGTCAAATCAAACCCTTTAAGGATGTCATCCACAAGCGTGACGTCCTCATGCTGAACCTCATTCAGGAGGGCTCGGAACAAAGCCAAACGCTTGGTCGAAAGAACTTCCTTCCGGAACTCAGGCAAATCAGCTTTCAAGGCCTTCTCAACTGGCTCAAGCTCGGACGCAAGAGCAATCCACCTACGAAGAGTTTCGGTCCTTTCCAATGCAACGTTCGCCTCGCCCTGGCGATGGATTTTCTGAACAGCAGCCCTGATCTCGTGCGGGAGAAGAGAGGACAGCTGAGTAGGATGGCCGATGAGCGCAGCTTGTTCAACGAACTGCTCAGGAGTCCGGTACACACCAATGACAGCCTTGGTAAGCCCATCACAAGACTCGGACGTGGCCGCTTTGGAGCGATCTAAGACGAACCCTAAACCCTCCAGGAGCTTGACATGTTCAGACTTCAAGTTCTCCGGTCCTCGAGGCATGTATGCAACGATCACGTCTCTCCGGCCGTTCCAAGGCATTGTAGCGTGCAACCTCCTACCGTCAAACCGAAAGCCCTCCGGTGTTACAGGCAAACAAACCCCTTTGATCGACCGGCCACGGAACTCATGCTCAACATCCCCATCTGGGTCTTCCATCCACAAGGATCCCCTCTCGAAGTCCGAAAGGGCTGCCAGTGCATTGTCCGTAAAGGACTCGTTGTTGGCATCTCTATGGGGCAAGGCGGCTAAGTCCCTGAACAGACCCACAGTGCCAAAAACCAATCCAGGAAAGAGGCCTCTTACATACGAGCACATAGCTTTGACCGACTCGGGATATTGCTTGGTCACAGAGCGGACTCCATTCAGAGGTCCATGCACAAAGCTGCCGGCTTGGAATGACTTCGCTCCCGAGTCTCCCTCCCACCTCAAGGATTCTGATGGAAGCAAGTCAAGCAGCAGACACAGGTCCTTGCGATGAACACGATGTCCCTCGTTTATCAATCTTGCCACACTCTCAGCACAGCCGGACTTCATAGCTTCCCGAACTTTGGGCGCATCGGGATCTAAACCAAAGCGGCTGTGCGGATAGGGGGGGCCCCGAGCTCAACCATACTAGCGGGCGTAGCGTCCTCCTCACACCCCTTGGGCAACACATGGGCGCGAAGAACGCGGCTGCCGGCAGGAAATTTTTGCAGCGCTGGAGTGCAAGCAACTTGGGTGCCGGGGCACCAATCCGAGGCAAGCTTGTGGCCGGGACGAAGAAAAGAATTTGCGAGCCTGGAGGGCAAAACAACAGAATGCACAGAAGCAAATTCGCTGAGCAGCGGGGGCACCCGCTTGCGAGATTGGATACCTGTGAATGCTCGCGAAGCTTGCACTGCATTGGTTGTACCAGTAATGTCAGACGGGGGCGCAGCACACCCGAGAGTCAGGAAGTGCTCCTTGAGCAAACTGGCCATAAGCTTGCAGAGGCCCCACGGATAGGCAGTCTCACTTGCTGTGGCCCATTTGGGCCCGACCTTCCCCCAGCCCAAATGGACATGCTTTCCAGAACAAGTTCGCTGGAGCTCACGGAATTTGGGAACATTGTGCACAAGAAGTGTTTCTTTACGACGCATGCCACCATACTCACAGTGATGAAAAATAGTTTGGAAAATATCCCGTCGCTGAAGAAAGTGCTTCCAGTCTGGCAGGAGCCAGAGGTAACTCCGAGCGGGATTCTCACAAGAAAAATGTTTTCCATGCTCAATGCAAAAGATGCACAACTCGAGGGTAAGGCGGTGCAACTCGTTTGCCTTGGTCACCCTGATGGCGTCGAGGCCTTCAAGACCATCCACACCTTCCGGGCACAACTCGCTTCGGAGAACAGGCGGTGCACCTTCAAACCTTATGTCACGGGCTCTGCTTGCGGTACCGCAAGGAGGAGCAAAATGAACGAATTTGACAGCAGGATCTTTGAGGATGCTCCAGAGGTGCTGTACGGCATCAGGACATGTAAGATCAAGCTTCAGAACAGAACAACACGCAGTCTTTGAGACGATATGGTCAACGCCAAATGCGTCGAAACCCTCACGCTTCAAAGAAGAACTAAGTCTCCCGCTCCCGCAAAACACTTCCACAACCACTACCTCCTCAAGTGAGAGGCCCTCTAACTTATGGAGATGGGCCTCATCAAGGGCGGACCTGTCCGCGGCGGCAGAAGTTTTGCAGCCTACGCTGGGTGACAGCAGTCACGAGTGATTCTGCATGCTATGGGGCTTGAGACAG